GGAGATGCAAAATTCCATTACAGCAAAAGCAAAAGGTATGTGGTCTGTAGTTTACTATCTGTAGCTTGTCTCCTTTTCTTTTCTGTGTGTTTCAGAATACTTAGAGCATGATTGGTTACCAACAATCTCGGCTTGTGGTTTTCTTTTCTTTCTTTTCTTTTGAAATCTCAGTTGTTTTGAAAAATTTATCAGGCTTGTGATCATGGCACTTTTTTAGGTTAAAAACTTGTGGCTTATGATTTATTTAAACGGCTATTAACCCTAAATAGGATTAATATTACTCCTAAGTGAAACAATTGGGCTACAAGCCTTTCCCAAAATTGGAGTAATATACGCCCATTTCCTATTTTATCCCTTCTTATAATCCCTAGTAGATTCATTTTATTAATTTTATTAATAAGAAAATCATAGTTTATTTATAATAAAAGTATAAAATAATAATAATATAACTAAATTAATAATAAAAAGGGAAAGAATGAAATAAAATAAATAAAAATTAATTAATTAATTAAAAATATAATAAAAATAACGGCAAAACTTTTTTTTGGGAAGAAAAAAAATAACGGTAAAACTTAAAAAATAAAAATATTATACCTAAAACATATTAAAAAAATATGTAGGCCTCTACCGTTGCATCTTCCACTCCCCAGCACTACCAGTTCTGATCGTCAGGAAAAAATGTCATCTTGTGCAAAAAATGCAACATTCCCTTGAAATTGTGATGAAGATGACATTTTTACTCTTTGAAAATAGGCCTTTCCCCATGAATATTACTAAATTAAATTCAATAGACACAAATATGACTTGTTTTAAAATGTTCCAAAAAAATGACATATTCAGTGACCAGTTTTCAATGACTCATCATCTATCAAAGTTGTCACTTTGAAATACACTAATGACTCTTGTACAGTCACTCATACGTAGTGACTAGTCATATTTTTGTCCAAAAACATAACTAGTCATATTTTTGTCGGGTCAAACTCTATTTGTAATTTTTTCGTGAAAATATCCAACTTTGCTTTCAAAAATGCAATCACGATGACAATGTTTTTTGCAAGTTGGCATTGCTTTCCGGCGATCAAAGGTGGTGGTGGTGCTGGAAGGCGGTTGAGGCCTAATCTGGCCTATATATATATTTTTTATTTTTATTTTTACTTTTTTTATTTTTAATTATTTTTAATTTTTATGTTTTATTATTATTGTTATTTAAAAAATCCTACTAAGCATGACGAAGGAAAGAGTAAAATAGGAAGAGTTAGTCCTATTATGGGAATTTAAACTTTATACTTCTGTTGCAATTTTGCTTTTATTTACTCCTATTTAGGGAATTGCGCCTTTGTGAAGGCTATTTTTTGTTTCATCCAGAGATATTAATTACTCGTATTTGGCATCTACTTGTCAGCTAACTTTACCCAAACAGAAACTGATTCTGATTGTAATTGATTATTATAAGAATAATTGATAATTGATTCTTTACAGTTATGCCATACAAATCCTCAGCAACCACCGAGATTATTTCAAGATCGCAATCATTTCCTGGAAAATGCGTATATTCCTCAATGGCAGCTAACGTTGGAGGTAGCTTAGCTCCCGATTCAAATATCCAGAATACTTCCATTGCACGTTGCAATATTGACACTGACAGTTCAATCATGGCAAGATTGAACATTCTGAAAGGCCGGGAAGCGAACTGCAGTTCATACATAGGTGAGGAGCAATTTGAGCCAATGCACGTGCAAGTGCCAGAAGAAAATATTTCAAATGCAAGCATGATGCATCCTTTCATGCATCGCCCTGCCGTGACGATCAGTGGTACTGGCCCGTTTGCTGCCGCAGATGGTTTTGGAAAAGAATCCATGAAAGAGTTTCTTCTCCACTCAGCTTCAATTGATGCAGTCCCACAAACAAAGAGACATAACAGAGCAAATCCTGGAGCAGCTTCTTCAGCATTGTACCATACTTCGTCGTCTGATTGGGAGCATGTACTGAAGGATGACTTTGCTGCATGGTACAGTTGAAACATTCATATTTTCCACAATATCAGCAAGCCTTCGTATGTTGTATATGGTATGTATGTATTATTTTTTTCAGAGAATTGGATGGTGCATCAGATACCTTAACCTTGCTAGTAGTGTTGCACTTTCTACTTGTCTATATAATTTCTTAAAAACATAAAGGAAACAAATAATTAAAAAATGCTCTAAATAGAAGTAACCGAGTAAAAGCAAGTTAATATTTCAAAATAGAAGTATTATATTAGTTCAAAGTAGCTAATGCCCTGATTCGAAAACACTACTGATTATGCCTGAAAGTGCTTGCAATTCATTTTTGAGGTGTACATAGTTACATACTATGATACTAACAACATAACAAGCCCACCATTAATAGTTTAATACTTTTGTTTTATTTTCAGTTCTGACCATCTTTGTTTTGTATTTTACCTTCATGCTGAAATACCATACACGTAGCCACGTATACGTGTTTTTACCATATGCCATTTGCCAGGCTTGAAGCCTTAAACTAGAGGTCTGATCTGTAATTGTTGAAAAATGCTTGGTGTAAGCTTTTCTCGTACACCTTTCTATATAGACGATTCTAGATGAATTGTTTGTGTACAAACAAAGTTGTCTGTGTATAAAGACAAAGTGAGGTGTACAAAAAAACACACATCAATAATTTATTATTATTAATAGTGTGGGTGAACTCAAATTTAAAAATATGTATTCGCTCCATCAAACAATATCAAACCTATTCTTTTTGTAAATAAATTTGCTGAAAAAGTATGAAGGCCTTAATAATTTTTTTATATTGTTTTAGTAATTTCTTCCAAATAATTACTCCGCATTAGACCCGACCCGACCCAGAACTGGCCCGAACTGGCACTGTTCCGGCCCGGCCCGGCCTGGTGGCCCGGTCAGTGACCGGTTCGGGTAGGCCTGACCCGCTGGGGTTCTGGTCTGGGATCGGGCCCCTCAAAACGTAAACCGGCCCGGCCGGTTCGGGCCCGGTCCGGGCCATTTCATGTATTTTTTTTTTTTGAATTTTTTTTTAAGTTTTTTTGGTTGGGCTGGGTATTTTGGGTCATTTGAGATGGTTTGGGGTGGGGTTAGGGGTTAATTAGGAAAAGGCAAAAACAAAAAATTGAACCGAGGCCCGGCCCGATCCAGGGGTTACCCGGGCCGGTTCCGTGTCTCCCCTTTCCTAAATCGAGGCCCGGCCGGGCTCAGGCCCGAACTGGCCCGAGTCCAGGCCTACTCTGTATATTCTAAAAAATTAGGCATTCATTTAGATATCAAATTTTAGTTTGAGCCATCAAGGTTCATTTTTTATGATCAAACACACCACAACCGTAGGATTCAGACTTTTTCATGATTGAACATTTTGTAGGGTATTAGAAAGTTTGCTCAATACGTATTCCCAATGTGTGCGACTGTGCGCCAAGATATGAAAATTAAACTTACTTTTGATCACGTCACGATATGTTCTACTCTTTAGAATGGAAAAGGTCATCTGCTTTGGTAAATGTATTTATTTCAAGGCGTTTTAACTTTTAACATGATCTAGTCCATTACTTTTTGTAATTTACCAAAAAGTTGTATGTTCAAAATGTTCTATGTAATAAATTTATTTAACAAAAAAATAAGATAGGGTATATATGCAAACGCATTACTTATTTACATCATTACGAGGCCGTTTGGCAACAGTCTTTCAACTTATCAACCAACTTTTTCATCAAATATGTAACTTTTGCTTTCGCGTGCAAAATTGTGTAATAAGCAGAAAAACTAAGGTTGAAGTTACTTTTCTGGCTGTCTTAGCTGAAATTACTGTACATGATCATTTTAGCAATTTTTACATATAATTTTTTCTTTATTTTATTAATAAATATATATTTAAAAAATATTTTTTTCTTAAATCAATAGAATCAGTCAATACAGACACTTCAGTCAGATCTTCATAAATTTCAGTAGAATCAATCAAATCACCCGATTTTCGTGCTAACACGGGATCTACATTTTTACTCATGTAGTCATGTGTACTAAAAGCCTACATCAAGCACCGCTCTTTTTATTACTCATCGACGAAGAGACACCGTAGTTAGCTTTTTTCCGTTTAAAACACGTTTTAAACTCGTACCGTTTTTTGAGCAAAAAAACGTGTTTAGAACGAAAAATAATGTCGGTCCGTTTAAAAAGAAAAAAAAACTCATACTTTCCGTATAAAACGTATTTTTTCCGTATTTTACAAAAAATAGAAACATAAACTGATCAATTGAATTAGTGCATTAAATGCATGGGAGATCGACAATAGCTTAAAAGCAAAATGGAAAACCTACTCCTAGTGGCTCCATGTTTTTGTATTGTTACAAGAGGTTTTTTCTAAAATATTACTAATACAAAAGTCATGGACAAAATTGTGTCTTGGTAACTTATAGTTACTATAACTGTGTTCAAAGTTTACATCATGATCACTAAAAGTTATGGTAACTAAAAGTTATCAAGTCACATTTTTGTCCGTAATTCTTAAAAGAGTCATATTAGTGGAATTTTGTCTTCTTACAATGCAATTATTAATCCTAAATTATTTACATGGCGGCTAAAGCTAGCTTCCTAAAAGACAAAAACTTGAAACACTGTTGGGTTTATGATGTTCTAAACCTGACATATTTTTAGTATAAACTTTTACACATATACAATAATAAGTGCAGCAGTCGCACAACATACTTTTATCATATGTCATTCATCATCTTAATGAAAATCATGAGTTTGACTTGAACGTTATTTGATGAGCATATAAAGACAGTGATATTAACTTAGTCTCATTCTATTGTTATTATTCCTCATTTTTTTACTTTATTTTGCAAAATTATGTCTCGGGCTTAATTACTCTCTGTTCCGCAAAATAGTTCTCGGTTTCCTTTTTGGGCCATCCCAAAAAATAGTTCTCATTTCTCTTTTTGGAAAGTTCTGTGTGACTCACATTCGTTTACCTTTTTCTTACTCAATCACAACCATACATTTCCACTTTCTTAAACTCTGATCCAAGTCAATGCATGAACTATTTTATGGGACGGAGGGGGTACTGTTTTTATTTTTCATCAACTTATTAAATTACAAATTATTCTTTTATGTGGTGTTAGGATATATTATCCCGGCCTATTACTGTTCAGGAGCCCAAGACATTATCCAGTACGGAGCCCGAGCAGCTAGGTCCATTTCGGCTCATTCTGGTCCACTTTGGCCATTAGGCCCGACATCGGCCCGTTGGCCCATTAGGGTAGAGAGCCCCTTCCCCTTTTTCCTATAAATATTGGAGTTTCCCTCCATATGATGGATCCTTTTGCTTCTTCCTTTAGCTCTCTAGATTAGATAATACTCCATTAATGGGAGCTTCAAGCTTGTATAATGTAATGATGAGGAGAGCCTAATGAGAATTGAGAGGGTTTGGACATTAGTCTAAAAAGTCCCGTGGTTTTTTCCCTTTCGAGTTTCCACATAAAAATAGCTTGTTCATACACATTTATACATATATTTACTATATCGTGTTGGATTAAACTCAACACTGGCGCCGTCTGTGGGAATCTGTCCAAAAAGATTCGCGTTGTTCTTTAGTTCCAAGAAAAAATTCATACGAAGCACTGATTTTCAACAAAGAAAAAATTGTTCTGGAAAGCAAGCAGGAGGAAGGAGATCCAACGTGAAAAGGAAGAAAAAAAATTAGAGAAAAGAAAATGATTCTGGATCTGGGAAGAAGGAAAAATTTTGATGCTGGAGGTTTTGGGTTTAATCGAAAAAGGTAGGAGGGAAAATGATTATGGGAAATCTGGGCTCTGGTTTTTTCTCTGTTTATCTGCCGCCGCCAGAGCATCGCCGCCGCCGGAGCACCTGCCGAACCGCCGCCGTGTAACGCCAGAAGCTCCCTGAGCCCGCCGCAGTTCACCGCACCGGCGGAAGATCAGAGGTAGTGGTCACTCCTCTGTCTGGCCAGTTGTTGCTCGGAACTCAACCTCGCTGCCAGCCCAACTCAGGGATTTTCCCAGCCAGCACATCCTTAGTCTCTGCCATTAATGGCGATTTGGAGCTCAGGAAGGTGTGTATTTCAGAGTTCTGCCGACTTTCCATCGGAGACTATCTTCCCTGGCCGCCTTTTGCTCTGCTGCAACCGCCAACCTCACCGGCGGAAGTGGCCGGCACTCGCGGCTGGCCTTTCTAGGGGATGTTCCGTATATCGCTGCTTGGACCTAAGCGCACCACGTCCGTGAAATCCAGGCCAAGTAAAAGGGGCTAATTTCTTGGGGAATTGGACCAAGTCAAGTTGGGGAATTCCGATAATAAGCCGAGGGCCTCTTGGCTTGGACGTGCGTCAACTTTGGACTTGGGAGTGGCTGATTAATTGAAGTCCTTGACTCTTGGGAAAGGTTGACCAAGTCAAAGGAATCAAAATCATTTCTGGGATTGCTAACTGGCCGAACATCTACCCAAAGCTAAGTACCTCCACCTTTAAATTGGTACACTTAATTGTTAATAGTTTAAACTATTAGTAATGATAGTATTTTTATCACCATTATTTAGTAGGGAGCAAATACCCCGAAATTAAATAATGTCGAGCAAAGCTCAGATGAGTAAAGCTCTAGTGATATGAATTTCACCGTCATTGGATGACTGGTTGTTGTGGGTCCATTGGGCCGCTCCTAATCGGCTTTAATTAGCGATCGGAGCGTATCTGAATGACTTATGGTAGGATAATACTATTATTACTACCCGTACATCACTATTATTTATTAGGGATAAAATGTCCCGAATTAAATAATGCTGAGCGAAGCCCAAGTGATGGTTAGTTCGGCTAGCATTTGATTAAATGTTTAATTGTTTGTGGGGCCGTTGGCCCACTCTCGATCGGCTTAATTAAGCGATCCGAGCGTCTGCAGAGGGCAATGCCCCGACGACACATTTTAAATTGGGGGTTACACATTAGTCTGCACGGCACCAAATGCCCGATCGACGATCGTACCCTAGTACTGCCTGCACCGTTAGGCACGAAGTGACTAATGCCAGACGCGGCCTGTGGAGTCCCGAGGGCACCAAAGCGCTCGGCCTCGTGTTTCCGAAGGCGCTGCGACCAACTTGGGTCTGAGTTTGAAAACTCACAGACCGATGAATATCTCTATGTGACGTTCGGCGGGCTGCTAATTGGCCCCGCCGCGAGCTGCTACGTCCATTAACCCCGCACGATGAGACGGGCCGAGGGTCACGATGACCCATAGGCCGGTAATCGTGGGTGTTAGAAAGAAAACCATGCAGATGGTTATGTGTGTATACATATTGTCGGGCCGTGCGGCCCGTTACCATGCTTATTGCGCAGCTGAAGCCGCTCGACGCGCTCGAGTGAAATGATTAGAGACGATCGGCCCGAATCTTGAAGACGTTCAGGGCCAGCTTAAGTGGAGACCATCACGGCTGAGAGCCGATGACGAACATCTCCACCCAGAGGTCGAGGGCCTAGAGGAGACCACCACGGTTGAGAACCGTGGGACGAGCATCTCCACCCCAGAGACCGATGGCCTAGGAAGAACACCTAGAGGCCGAGGGTCTAGAGGCGAATGCCATGACAGAGAACCGTGAGACGATCACCCGTCATTCAGAGACCGAGGGCCTAGAAGAGATCGTCACGGCCGAGGGCCATCTGACGCCATCATTACATCATGACCGGCCCCTCGGCACGACATGATCATCATATTTGAAGACCGGCCTCGTCCCCGCACTACGCGGACGAGGACCGTTGCTTGATTTCAGATCGGCCTCTCATTGCCGACATCATTAATCACGACCGGCTTCCTGGCTCGGCGTGATTATCTTATTTGAAGACCGGCCTCGTCCCCGCACTACGCGGATGAGGACCGTTGCTTGGATTTCAGGTCGGCCTATCATCGCCGACATCATTACACCACGACCGGCCTCTCGGTTCGGCGTGCTTATCTTTTGAAGACCGGCCTCGTCCCCGCCCTCGCGGACGAGAACCGTTGCTTGATTTTCTCAGATCGGCCTCTCATTGCCGACACTGTCATATCATGTTCGGCCCCCCCGGCCCGGCGTGCTTGTCTTTTGAAGACCGGCCTCATCCCCGCCACCTCGCGAACGAGGACCGTTGTTTGATTCTTTCAGGTCGGCCTCTCACTGCCGACACTATCATATTATGTTCGGCCTCTCGGCACGAAATATTTATCTTTTGAAGACCGGTTTCATCCCCGCGCTGCGTTGGATGAGAGCCGTTGCTCGGATATATCGGCCTGACTGGACACTATTGCCATCTCCATTATCAGGACCGACTGCCCAACGACATTATGATCATTGTATATCGGCTCCCAATGCCGACCTTCTTGAGTTAGCGATCGGGCTCACCCCTCCCATCAGGAGGGTGGCCATCGCCTTCGCATGACGACCAGCATTTCCATCGCCTCGTCATTCTATTCTTTTTGATATCCCACCACCATTACGTGTGACATCACTGGTGGTCATTCTTGGAAACCGACGAACGTATTTTCCTCCCTCAAAAAAAAAAAAAAGAGAAAAAAAAAAGAAAAGATGGGGAGAAGGGGAGAGAGAAACTCCTATGAGAGAGGGAGTCTTGACGAGGTATGCCTGATCTTCCTTCGCCGCGTATGACGAACGTCTCCCGACGCGGAGGTTAGTAGGAACGTGGGGGAGGCTAGACGTACCAAAGGGAACCTCGGCAGGATAAACCAGTTCCTCCCATTTCCTGTGGATCGACGAACACCTCCTGCCGATGCAGGAGGCTAGTAGGGCCACAAGCATGGGACGACGAAGCAGGGAATCCCGACGTGGATAAACCGGTTCCTCCTTGCGATCGTTGGATGACCGAACGTCTTCTTCGAAGTAAGAAGATTAGTAGGACCACGACAGGGACGAACGAAGAATAGGGAATCCCGACGTGGATAAACCTGTTCCTCCTTGCGATTGTTGGATGACCGAACGTCTTCTTCGAAGTAAGAAGATTAGTAGGACCACGACAGGGACGAACGAAGAATAGGGAATCCCGACGTGGATAAACCTATTCCTCCTTGCGATCGTTGGATGACCGAACGTCTTCTTCGAAGTAAGAAGGTTAGTAGGACCACGACAGGGACGAACGAAGAATAGGGAATCCCGACGTAGGTAAACCTGTTTCTTCTCATAGTTGGGATGACGAACGTCTCCTGCGAAACCAGGAGACCAGTACTCACGAGACTTGGGAAGAACGAAGAACCAGTTCTTTACCAGAGTCTGTGCGTGCCGAGTGTACACTGCTTAGCGGTCCGTACATAGGACAACGGATACGGTAGACGAACGAAGACTAGCTCCTCAGGCCAGATAGGAGGGACATCACCCAGATTTATTTCAGGCTCACCATTCCTTCCCGGATGGAGTCCTGGCAGACGATCGGCTTCTCACGGCCAATCAGGAGAGAGACTTGACACATCACCAGCACGGCCGAGGGCCGTGAGACGATTATCACTCACCGACAGGCCGGGGGCCATGAGATGATCATCACCATTTTTATGCAGCACGATCGGCCTCTCAGCGCCATCGTGTCTCTTTCACGTTCGGATCGCGCATCTCTTCCAGGATGGCGACGAACGTATTCTGCAGTGCGATCGGCCCCTCAGCGCCATCGTACCTGGCTTCACGGTTCGGCTCGACCATTCCCTCCAGGATGGCGATGACCGTCTTATGCAGCACGATCGGCCTCTCAGCGCCATCGTGTCTCTTTCACGTTCGGATCGCGCATCTCTTCCAGGATGGCGACGAACGTCTTCTGCAGTGCGATCGGCCCCTCAGCGCCATCGTACCTGGCTTCACGGTTCGGCTCGACCATTCCCTCCAGGATGGCGACGATCGTCTTATGCAGCACGATCGGCCTCTCAGCGCCATCGTGTCTCTTTCACGTTCGGATCGCGCATCTCTTCCAGGATGGCGACGAACGTCTTATGCAGTGCGATTGGCCCCTCAGCGCCATCGTACCTGGCTTCACGGTTCGGCTCGACCATTCCTTCTAGGATGGCGACGACCGTCTTATGCAGCACGATCGGCCTCTCAGCGCCATCGTGTCTCTTTCACGTTCGGATCGCGCATCTCTTCCAGGATGGCGACGAACGTCTGCTGCAGTACGATCGGCCCCTCAGCGCCATCGTACCTGGCTTCACGGTTCGGCTCGACCATTCCCTCTAGGATGGCGACGACCGTCTTATGCAGCACGATCGGCCTCTCAGCACCATCGTGTCTCTTTCACGTTCGGATCGCGCATCTCTTCCAGGATGGCGACGAACGTCTTCTGCTGTGCGATCGGCCCCTCATCGCCATCGTACCTGGCTTCACGGTTCGGCTCGACCATTCCCTCCAGGATGGCGACGACCGTCTTATGCAGCACGATCGGCCTCTCAGCGCCATCGTGTCTCTTTCACGTTCGGATCGCGCATCTCTTCCAGGATGGCGACGAACGTATTCTGCAGTGCGATCGGCCCCTCAGCGCCATCGTACCTGGCTTCACGGTTCGGCTCGACCATTCCCTCCAGGATGGCGATGACCGTCTTATGCAGCACGATCGGCCTCTCAGCGCCATCGTGTCTCTTTCACGTTCGGATCGCGCATCTCTTCCAGGATGGCGACGAACGTCTTCTGCAGTGCGATCGGCCCCTCAGCGCCATCGTACCTGGCTTCACGGTTCGGCTCGACCATTCCCTCCAGGATGGCGACGACCGTCTTATGCAGCACGATCGGCCTCTCAGCGCCATCGTGTCTCTTTCACGTTCGGATCGCGCATCTCTTCCAGGATGGCGACGAACGTCTTATGCAGTGCGATTGGCCCCTCAGCGCCATCGTACCTGGCTTCACGGTTCGGCTCGACCATTCCCTCTAGGATGGCGACGACCGTCTTATGCAGCACGATCGGCCTCTCAGCGCCATCGTGTCTCTTTCACGTTCGGATCGCGCATCTCTTCCAGGATGGCGACGAACGTCTGCTGCAGTACGATCGGCCCCTCAGCGCCATCGTACCTGGCTTCACGATTCGGCTCGACCATTCCCTCTAGGATGGCGACGACCGTCTTATGCAGCACGATCGGCCTCTCAGCACCATCGTGTCTCTTTCACGTTCGGATCGCGCATCTCTTCCAGGATGGCGACGAACGTCTTCTGCTGTGCGATCGGCCCCTCATCGCCATCGTACCTGGCTTCACGGTTCGGCTCGACCATTCCCTCCAGGATGGCGACGACCGTCTTATGCAGCACGATCGGCCTCTCAGCGCCATCGTGTCTCTTTCACGTTCGGATCGCGCATCCCTTCAGGATGGCGACGAACGTCTTATGCAGTGCGATCGGCCCCTCAGCGCCATCGTACCTGGCTTCACGGTTCGGCTCGCACATTCCCTTCAGGATGGCGACGAACGTCTTATGCAGTGCGATCGGCCCCTCAGCGCCATCGTACATGGCTTCACGGTTCGGCTCACACATTCCCTTCAGGATGGCGACGACCGTCTTATACAGCACGATCGGCCCCTCAGCGCCATCGTGTCTCTTTCACGTTCGGATCACGCATCCCCTTCAGGATGGCGACGACCGTCTTATGCAGCACGATCGGCCCCTCAGCGCCATCGTGTCTCTTTCACGTTCGGATCACGCATCCCCTCCAGGATGGCGACGAACATCTCTTATACAGCTCGATTGGCCCCTCGGCGGCATCATGTCCAGTCCACCTCCGGCTCCGCCCATGCCATCTCGGATGGGGGACCCGTCTTGTGCAGCACGTCTGCTTCTCGGCGCTGACATGCCCGGTTTATCGATGAGAGCCATCGCTTTCTATCACACCTCACATTCCTTCTCTCATACATTGCACCCATACATTACATGCATTCATGCATTCATGCATCATACCTCATACATTCATACATACACACGTGCATCATGTTTTGATAGTACCGCGACGTCGGTTTATAGATGCATGGACCTCTAAGCTTCTCCGATTGGAAAGCTCGAGTCAGAGTCCTTTACTCTCGCCTGATGCATTCAGGGGGAGCGTGCCCGTGGAGGAGCACCCTTCGCCCGATCCCGTCGGGAAGGGGGTTCCTCACCGGCAGATTACGTTCAGGAGTGTGGACATCCACTCATATATTATGATTATTCGAGGACACAGTTTCCAGCAAGACAGAGGAAGAGCGCAGGCAAGAGTATATTTTCTCGAGCAGATTCACACGCTCACTACTCAAGAAACTGGGGGACTTGTGTTAGGATATATTATCCCGGCCTATTACTGTTCAGGAGCCCAAGACATTATCCAGTACGGAGCCCGAGCAGCTAGGTCCATTTCGGCTCATTCTGGTCCACTTTGGCCATTAGGCCCGACATCGGCCCGTTGGCCCATTAGGGTAGAGAGCCCCTTCCCCTTTTTCCTATAAATATTGGAGTTTCCCTCCATATGATGGATCCTTTTGCTTCTTCCTTTAGCTCTCTAGATTAGATAATACTCCATTAATGGGAGCTTCAAGCTTGTATAATGTAATGGTGAGGAGAGCCTAATGAGAATTGAGAGGGTTTGGACATTAGCCTAAAAAGTCCCGTGGTTTTTTCCCTTTTGGGTTTCCACGTAAAAATAGCTTGTTCATACACATTTATACATATATTTACTATATCGTGTTGGATTAAACTCAACATGTGGTAATGTGATTTGCTACTTGAATATGTGTATATTTATATTTGTTTTTACTATATATCTTATTTTGTGAAGTATATACTTTAAATGTTAAAAATAATACCCCGTATTTTTTGTCCGAATTTTTGTAACATATACTGTATTATACACGTATACGTATTCACACGTTTTTTAAAAGTCAACATATTTTTCAACGAATTTTGACCGTCTTTTTCATTCTAGTTACTGAATAAAACAGGTACGTATTAAACCTCGTTTAATTCCCGTACCGTATTTAACTAACTATGAGACTACGAGAGATACCACACCCGTGGAGTTGATTTGCAGCATTTTAAAAAGTAATGAAGGCGTTATTTATTGATTAATCAAGCTAGGGAAGTCGTACAATAATAAATCGCATTATTAATTCAATAAATATACATACATGTACGGAAACTGTAAATTACTGTCATGAAATGCAACACGCGTGGGGGTTTTCGTCGGAAAAGATGTGCGGCGCCGGTAGAATTCTCTCAATGTTGTAAAGTGGTTGGTAATAGTTCATCATCTTCTTCCCTTCTCTTACGTTCTCTTCTTCCGCTACCGGCTGATTCTTCGAAATCTCCTCCTCCTCTTGCGGCGGCGGACTTCCACCTTCAGTTTTCTCATCATCGGGCTTGGTGGGCTCGTCCGCCGGCTTCTCTTTCTCTTCTTTATTCTCCTCCTGTTTTGGTTCAATATTCGGTGGGTTTTCAGGCTCAACCTGAGGGACGATCTTTGCTTGCTTTTTAGTTCCCCGATAGACATTTTCCACTAGCATTTCGGCGTCCATCGTCCCCATCACCGTCACTTTACCGGAGTCTACTTCTGTTTCCACTTTTCTCACTCCTGCAGTATCGTGCAAGGACAGCTTCTTTGATGTTTAGAGCATCTCCAATGCTATAATGTCGACGGTGCACATGTGGCATGAATGATAGCCACATAAATATTAGCAAATAAATTATTTCACTCCTTATTTGAATGATTTTATACAATTTTGGTAAGTTTTTCCCTACAATGTCTACAAGAATGTCAACATCTAGACGATCTCCTTGACAATGTGGAGAAAAACTTACCAAAACTGTATAAAATCATTCAAATAAGGAGAAAAAGAATTTATTTACTAATATTTATGTGGCTATTTTTCATGCCAGGTGTACACCGTACACATTTTACCATTGGAGATCCTCTTAGTTGTTTACTACAGAGTATACAGGTGAAATGCAGTACCTTAATTATTGCATTTAGATAGATTAACTTTTAGAGCATTTCCAATGACACAATGAGAGATAGTCACATAATATTGGCAAATAAATTATCTCTCTCCTTATTTGAATGATTTTATAAAATTTTGATAAGTTTTTCTTCACAATGTCAAGAAGACCGTCTAAATATTGACATTGTGGTTGACATTGCAGAGAAAAACTTATCAAAGCTGTATAAAAGCATACAAATAAGGAGGGAAATAATTTATTTGCTACTCCCCCCGTCCCATTTATATTGTCCTGTTTTACCTTTTTGTAATGTTCCACTTAAATTGTCTCATACCATATTTGACAAAGTTTGTGTGGCTCTAAATCATTCTTACTTTATTCTTACTTTATCAATTAATATCAACCACACAAACCCACTTTTCTTAATAACCGTGTCACCCTCTTCCGGGACAATATAAATGGGACGGAGGTAGTATTATTTATGTGGCTGTCTCTCATGCCACATGTGCACCGTGCACATTATAGCATTGGAGATGCTCTTAAATGAATCAAATCAGTATCATATTTATACATAAATGCTTCAATTGAGAATATTATTCAAATTTGCAACCAAAGAATCCTACAAGACGATCAAATCTAAGGTGAGGTGGACTTTAAACATAGAATTCTGGTAGCTACATAAGATTTTTTAGCAAAAAAATTGAATACTATTGTCAATTGAAACATTTATATACGGAGTATATTATATTTATGGTACTGATTTGATTCATTTAAAAGTTAAGGTACCAAAACACAATAATATCAATAGTTAATGTGTCATTTATACATTTCACTCTTTTTTGAAAGGAAAAGAAATTGATATTAAAACATCAAACGAATTAAGAGTTATAACCAACCAATAGCTCAAAATCCACCACTTATCTTTTATCAAACTCCATCTAAACACATGAAATGTCTTACAGTTGAAACGGTTACCTCCAAAAAAAAGTAACGATGATCGCTTTATTTACATCTTTAATTAAAGGTGACAACTCCGGTACCTTTCTAAAATATGGGGTACCGTACCTACCATTCATTTGATTGGACCACATCACTTTATCATTTTTAATTTAGATTTAAATAATTCAACTGTTACATTCTCATTGGTCCATATAGACAAAGGTATGGTACCTTATGGGTACCATAAAATCTACCTTAATTAAATGCCAAATTCATATACTCCTATATATTCTACAAGAACATGATTTCTTCCACCTAAAGCCCTAAAGGTGGAATCGCTTACCCCGAAAGTCTCTTACGGCCTTACCCGACCCGACAATAGATCATACCCGGTACGTTAAGATGATTTCTTACGATGATTGTGGCTAGGATCGAAAGTTCGTACATACTTAAAATTAGGGGTGAGCGTGGGACGGTACGGGACGGTTATTTCAAAAAACCTGTCCCGTTCCAAAGTACGGTTCTTTTTAAAATCAAGAACCGGTACCGTCCCGCATATATGTAGAACCTGTCCCGTTCCGTACCAATTTTCGGTCCGGTACGGTACGGTTCGGTACGGTTCTTAAATAACTAAATAACCCCCATGAAATATAAAAAATTTAGATTTTAACATTTATAAATAACGCTACAAAAATTGAAGAGAAGAATTTGCAAGATTATATTAGCCTTGTAGGTGAGCCGAATTGAGGAGGAACACCAAAGGCGATTAGTTCTGCCGTTCCTCACTTTTGGACTTTTTGGTCTGCTAGAGGATATGTTGCCGACTGAATTAGGTTTAAGAGTTTTGTTCTATTTACGTAGCATTATTTATACTCCGAATCATTTAGTGTTTTTGTTTTAATAATTGGATTGGGCCCAAAGAAGATGTAAGAGTAATATTAGGACAATTATACTCAGTATATAATATATATTATACGGAGTATTATATATAAAAAATTATTATTATATTATAACACTAGTTTTCGGGACAATTCGGGACGGTACGAGACGGTTGTTCGGTACGGTTCTGGGACGGTTCCGGTACGGTTCTCACTAAGAACCGGTACCGTACCATATTATTAAAAAAACTCGGTACGGTACGGTACGGTATTACATTTTTCCGGTTCTATCGGTTCTGGAACGGTTCGGGACGGTTCTTCGGTACGGAACGGGAATTCCCAGATCCACGCTCAGCCCTACTTAAAATACGGTAAAATAAAGGAGTAAACGATAACGGACCTTTCATTTTGAGTATCTTTCTTTTAAGTTGTTGCGCACAAGCTTTGCAATGCATGTTGACTGTAAGCTCTACCGTTTTCAATCCATTCACCTGAAAGATTAAAGAATATTATTTAATTTAATAATTCTGTCATATTCGTTACGATCAAAAAAATTCTGTCATACTCCCTCCGTCCCAATTTGTTTTGCAAAGTCAACAATTTTTGGTCAACTAATAATAAAAGTCAACCCTCCGTATGGATAATTAATTCAATTTTTAATAATTAAAATTTACATATTCAAAAACTACATTAAAATCACTTCAAAGTTGTAAACTCCAAATTAGAATATAATTAAAAATTGATATCCTAATTAAGTAAACAAAACGAGACTGTTTGACTAAGAAAAGTCAAATTTGCAACTCTTTTTGGGACGGAGGTAGTATTCGTTTAGTCATTCGAGCGGTAATTTTCTCTAATAAAAATAGTTAAGTAGTACTACGTACTACATACGTAATATAAATTAATACTTGTAATACTTATAATTCATTTTAATTTGGGGTATAAACTTTTTCTACAAAACGGCGGTGTTTTACATTATCTTATTCAAAACCAGACCGTTTTATGCTTCGTATTAAAAAAAAAAATGCAAATCTACGGATTTCTCCTTTGCTGTTTCATCTCCCCCATGGAACACCTCTCCACTCCCGCCTTTTGTGCAATTGTCTTCCCTTAAATTGGTTGCACAGATGTAGCAATTAGGTCGATTGCCGGTGTGGCCGATGTGAGTATCTTCACGCCATCCCCTGCGAACCGAAGTAAATCGTCGGCGATATGCGGCTAGGCCTTGTTCCTGAATATTGTAGACCATGCTGTATTTTGGATTTCGAGTGCGCATGTGTGGGCAAATTTAAAGACTTACAGCTAAATGTTTGTTTTAATATACTACGTATATGTATACTAGTAATAATTTTTTGAATATAAGAGTATATATTCTAATGAAGAAGACTCGGCTTGCTTGTATGTTGAAGATGACTGCTATGAGTTATTTTAGACTTTCCTCAATTTACATCTTGCGCACATTCAAGTTACATCAGGATTTGCCTAAAGTCACATATCTATAAGGGTAAGTTACATGTCAAAATTTCTTAACAAGTTGCATCCCACTTACCCCGTGATTTACATGTTCAATAATGCAAGTTACACCACAATATAATGCGAGTTACACAACTTAACAAGTCCCTGCTATTCAAAAACAAATTATAAAAACACATATTTATAGTCTTGATATTAAAAACAAAACATGTACACTATTTATGTAAAATAAATGGACAATTAGACTTCTTTTTTCATTATTTAAATTAAAATCAATGTTTTACTTCTTATACTCTGTTTTAGATAACTTACATTTCAACTTCGCTCAAATTACATTTCTTTTCAATGTAAGTTACATTCCTTTATATACGAGTTACATCAATATGCTGTTAAAATTTACAAAGAGAAGCCTGGGAGCAGGATGCTCATTGTGAGCCGCTCCCATGGTATACCAACTGCTAAAACTAGTGCTACATACTTGTAGTAAATAGAAGTGGGGACATTAAATCTGTAAAGAAGTGGGATAGAAATCTGTATATGATATTTCATGCCTAAAGCAGTTTGAGAGGGATTGTTTCACCCTTTTTATGGCACAATATCCTTTTCTTATGGAGTTTTTTTGTTTAACTTTTCATCAATTTTCGCTGCTTATTGTACTGTGTGCCCACAACTTAGTGTATGTATAGTCATGCTTAATCATAGTCCTTTAATAACACACATAACAATTGGTTTAAGTGGGAAATGAGGACAACAAACCTACGGTGTCTGGGTCTCCATTTGTTAGATTAACTTTTAAGATTGTCCTGGAAAATGCTTTAAGTAGTTCTATTTTCTAATATAGGAGAAATAGCTAGTTTTGGCCTTTTTAAGGATGTGCTATTATTTGGATTAGGGTGGTTGGTTTATAGATTTGTATTTGAAATGAGTAGTAGCCTCTTTGTTTATGGGTGGACTGAAACGCACTTTGATTTCCCTAGGCATCTTTTGTGATTTGGGACAAGTGATGGTCTTTATTATTCATTCCTTTGGTTTATTTAGTTTTGTTAATAATTTATTTATTGTTGTTTTGCTTTTTGTTGGTGCTATTACTTTGCTTTTATCGATCGGTCTTTCTTTCATTAATGGATATGTCTTGTAAACTTGAACATTAATACAATTTATTTTACACAAAAGAAATAGATCTCTACAATTCATCTTCTAAAAGCTGAGAGAAATTAGTGGCATTTTTTTAAATGGCATTGTTTTTATAACTTAGTAATGCTTAATTCTACTTTAAGAGATTTTTCTTGTTTTATATACAAGTTGAGACAATAAAAGATCGGATTGCATTTCTATGTCAATCTAAAATCAGTATAATTCAAGATTATAAACAAATTAGAGAATAACACTACACTTTACCTTTATTCAGATGTTGAAGGATACAGTTATAGCTTCAGAAAAATCAAATCTCATTATGTTCCAAGGTGATTGAACCTGAGAGCGTTTACCAGTGTTAATGAGGTAATTTCTTCACATTTGGAGACACCGATACGGTGCATATATATTTTTTATTTGCTTAAGCTATATTGTGATCTTGTGTTCTTTTTTTCTATTAATATTTATGTAAGGATCGTATATCCGTCTCCGGCTCAGGTCTTTCAACACACACTCTCACACACCACACTTAGGAGGAGGCTATAGCACACACACATTTTTCTCTCCACTAAGGACCTAACTTATGCTCACACAAAGGAGGAAGAAAGGGAGCTCTGCTCTCTGGAAGTATACTCACGCAGGCTGCTCTCAAAGGCAAAGGGAGGGTTGACTTTATAATAGACATCTTGCCTATTAGGCACTCACGGGTGAACAAAGACAAATGGTCACGGGTGATGCAATACAAAGAAACTTCACATGCTACCAAGACAAGAAGTGCAGCTAGCGGACAGAAGCAGAGGAGGGGCCAGCCAAGTGAGTAAGTCAAACCACTCAAATAGGTATATATTTGATCAGGATATATACCAAAGAAAAGGTATCCAAGGGAGAATAAAATAGAGTGTGCAAGCCTCAACAAATAAAGTGGAAGGGGGGCCTTGGTAGGACCAATACCTCCAACATTCTCCACCTTATTGGTCCTAGGTGGTGTAGAGTAACAAAACAAAGTTGTGACAAGACTCATCATCGCCGGGTCACCCGGAATATCAACAGACACAACGGGCAAACACTTTATTAGGCAACCCACAGTTATCTACAATCAAAGTTTAACACGCGTTTACAGGACAAGTGCTTCTCAGCAGAAAGACACTTGGTACCCATATCCACAGGGTTAAACTCCGACGGGATCTTGCACAACTTGACTCCACCTGCATCAACAATATCACGTATGAAATGGAACCTAACATCAATATGCTTAGTTCTATCATGAAATACAGTATTTTTGCAAAGTTGGATAGCCGATTGGCTATCCGAGAAAATGGTAACTCCCTTTTTGAGAAACCCAATTTCGGAGACAAGGCGTTTGAGCCAGAAGATGGCTTCCTTAAACGCTTCTGTGGCTGCAACATACTCGGACTCAGTGGTAGAAAGGGCCACAATAGGCTGTAGTTGAGACTTCCAACTAATGCAAGAGCCACACAAAGTAAAAACATAAGAAGTGGTCGACTTCCTGTTATCTCTATCATTTGCATAGTTAGAATCAACATAACCAATCAATTCAATACCACTAGCACATTTAGAGAAAATTAATCCATGCTTCACAGTAGAAATCAGATATCTAAGCAACCACTTAAGAGCATTCTAATGGGGCAAACCAGGGTTGGACATATATCTACTCAAGCAACTAACCGCATATGCAATATCAGGTCTAGTGCTAACCATAAGATACATCACCGACCCTATTGCGCTGGAATAAGGCACATATTTCATTTTCTCAATTTCAAGAGCAGTCTTGGGAGACTGGTCCTTACTTAACACAAAGTGAGATGCCATAGGGACATTAACAGGAGAAGCATATAACATATTGAATTTACTCAAAACTTTTTCTATGTAAGAAATCTGATTCAAAGTAAGAGTACACTTACTCCTATCCCTAACAATGTTTATGCCTAGGATCCTCTTGGCATCATCTAGGTCTTTCATGGCAAAATTCGCACAAAGACATTTCTGCACATCTTTAATAGCATTCAGAGAAGGACTAATTATCAGCATGTCATCCACATAGAGTAACAAAAATACAGGCACAGAGGAAGTATTCTTGAAATACAGGCAATGATCACAAACAGATTTTTGGAACTTCAAAGATATCATGCATTTATCAAATTTGATGTTCCACTACCTAGGGGATTGCTTCAGGCCATACAAAGCCTTCCTAAGCAAACAGACATGCTCACTTCTCTTGGGATCCACAAAGCCCTCAGGCTGGGTCATATAAATTGTTTTGTCCAATTCACCATGCAAAAATGCAGTAGTTACATCCATCTGTTTCATTTCCCAGTCATGGTGAGCAACTAAAGCAAGCATCATACGAATAGTGGTGAATTTAACAACAGGAGCAAAGATTTCTGCATAATCTACCCCCTCTTTTTGAGTAAACCCCTTCGCAACCAACCTAGCCTTAAACCTAACATCACTAGGTTCTTCCTTAACCTTAAACAACCACTTACACTCAACTACCGAACAGTTGGGGGGTCTAGGTACAAGGGTCCAAGTCTGGTTCACTCTCAAAGAGTCCATCTCACTTTTCATGGCACTAATCCATTTCTGAGACTCTTTGGAACCTAAGGCTTCACGGTAGGTCTTGGGTTCATTCAGTTCTAGGGATTCAAACACAGAAAATGCAAACATAGAAGTATCATGCACAATGAAAGCATAATCAGGCATACTATCAGCAGTTCTCCTGATAGCCCTTCTACTCCTATCTCTAGCAAGTTGATAATCATGCAAATTATCACTACTAGGCTCCACATGCAACTCATGCAAATTATTGTTATCATGAAAATCAGATTCAGCACCCATATCATGCAAATCATGCTCAGTATCATGCAAATGCTCCACCTCACTCGAGGTGGTGGGACTATCATGCTCAGAGGAATCAGAATCATGCATAACAATATCATCAGTAATAACAGGATCAACAGACAAAGGACTTGCAGCAACAGGGACAGACTCCACCTCACTAGGAGTACTATCAGACCTAGACTCAGGATCAGAAACAGACTTGGTCAAGCAAGGAAAATCAGTTTCATTAAACACCACATTTCTGCTAAGGACCACTTTAAAGCCTACCTGGTTCCTATCCCATAACCTGTAACCCTTTACCCCCTCTGGATAACCTAGGAAGACACATTTCTTAGACCTAGGATCCAACTTGTCACCCTGTTGATGTGCATACGCTGCACAACCAAACACCCGAAGGTTAGACAGATCAAGAGGCTTACCGGTAAAGACGGCTTCAGGACACTTACCACCAAGAGGGACAGACGGGGACCTATTAACCAAATAGGCAGCAGTGGTAACTGCTTCACCCCAGAATTTCTTAGACAAACCAGAGGTAGCTAACATGCTTATAACCTTATCCAATAGAGACCTATTCATTCTCTCTGCTATCCCATTCTGTTGGGGAGTATAAGGCACAATTTTGTGTCTTTTTATCCCACAATCCACACACAACTTATCCATCTCCTTATTACAGAACTCTAACCCGTTATCGATCCTAAGGCTTTTAACCTTCCTGCCAGTTTGGTTTTCAACTAGGGTTTTCCACTCCCTAAACCTTACAAACACATCAGACTTGTGTTCTAAAAGGCAAACCCACACCTTCCTAGAGAAATCATCAATGATAGAAAGGAAGTATTTCCTACCCCCCGTGGGTAGGAACATTGGCAGGAACCCAAACATCGGCATGAACATATTCAAGCACAGACGAACACTTAGACAGATTAGGGTAAGAGGAAGGAGGGAAGCTGACTCTATGCTGCTTGCCTAACACACATGATTCACAGAAAGGCACAGAAGTCACAGAGTCCCTACCAAAATAACCAGCCCTATGCATGACATCTAAACCCTTATTGCTCATATGTCCTAGCCTATTATGCCACAAAGAGGTCTTATCAGAACATACAACATTCACAGACTCAGCAAAAGGTTTAGCATGACACACATAAAGGTTATTCACCTTCTCAGCTTTAAACAAAACAAGCGAGTTCTTCAGGATTTTCATACAACCATTCCCCCATTTTCCCTGTAACCCACTACTCTCCAAAGCAGCAACAGATAACAAGTTATGACACAAATCAGGGACATGCCTCACATTCTTAATGGTAAACACAGAGCCACAAGAAAATTTCAGACAAATATCACCAACACCAAGCACATTGCATCTCTTATTATCAGCTAAGGAAACGTAGCCACCATCACATAATTCATAAGTAGAAAACAAATCTCTAAAGGGGGACATGTGATAGGTACAACCAGAGTCAATCAACCATTCATGCTCAGACAGGGAATTTCTCACAGAATTAACATGGTCACAAACCATCAAAATATCACCAAGGTCACATTTATCAACAGCTACACTAGCATGCTCGGTCTTCTTAGGGTGGGGGCAATCCTTAATGAAATGGCCAGTGTTACCACAATTGTAACACACTCTCTTCCTAGATTTACTCCTCTTCCTCCCAGGCTGACTAGTGTTCTTACCCTGACTATTTTGCTTAGGATTCTTAGACCTACCCTTAGATCTACCTCTAACAAACATAGCCTCACCGGGGTCCCTGGACTGACTAGCACTACCCCTAGCATGCTTCAGGTCTAATTCCTTACTCCTTAACCCATTAACAACAATGTCTAATGAAATCTCATCCCTACCATACTTAATAGCGGACTTAACATCATTATAAGAGTCGGGAATGGCATTAAGTAACACTATGGGAGTATAATCATCTATGTGTTTATCACCTGCCTGTTTGATATTCTGTATCAGTTTATTAAACACATCCAGGTTCTCATCTATATCCTTAGTCAGGTCAAGCCTAAACCTAAAGAATTTCTCTAGTAAGAACAACTTCCCGGGCAAAGAGGTATCAGTATAGAGACTATCCAATTTCTCCCACAACTCCTTAGCAGACTCAAGAATACCCACTTTAATTTCCTAAGCACAGAATCAGACAGATTCAAGTAAATAGTAGAACAAGCAGTTTCGTTCATTTCAATTTGCTTAGTCTTATCTTCTGATTCAAGGAAAATACCAGTGACAGCTCTGAAAACTTTTTGTTGTATTAAAACACACTTTATTTTCTGTTTCCAAATATCAAAATCTGTTTTTCCATTAAATGGAAGCATACCATACTGATTCGCAGCCATGGTATCAACCACAAAAGGAACACAAAGCTAAACAGATAGAAATGACAGAAAATAATCCAACCCGAGCTATAAAGTATTCACTTTAATAACCCCGGGCAGCATGCAACACATAGCAAAAAATGGACATTTTGGCAATTAAACAATTCCGGGCAGAAAAAATTAAATTAATTAATTCTACCCCTACCACCCAATAAACCACCCCTACGCATAACAATTAAATTAAATAACACAAAGCAATTTAATTAATTAGCTAAAACAAACTGCCACAAAGGAGTGAGTTTAGAACGTACCTGGGGGGGGGGGGGGGTTGGCGGCCGGGATTAAATCAACCGGCGGCCCGCGGGGAGGGGGAATAAATTAAATTAAATTAAAGCCGGAAAATTACAAATAGGAAGTTTAAAGAAAACTTACCTTCGCGAAACCCTAGGAGAGCGTTTCGACCTTACCTACCCAATTTAAAAAAATTGGGATTTTTCTGGAGGGTTGACTGACTGTTGACCGCGTTGACTGGCGTTGACCGGTGGTCCAGCACCTCTAGCAGTCCAAGTCAGCAACTCTAGCCCGGTCCAAGCTCCAGCTCCAGCCCAGTCCAAAAAACAGCAACCTCAGCTCCTAGCTCCAGTTGGTCCAGAAGCTAAAAAAAAAGGAAAACTACCAGCCCAGGTCCAGAAGCCCAAAAGCCCAGTACTCCAACTACCTTTTCTTCTTCTTCGTTCCAGGCCTCAGCGATCAGAACAATGTCTGCGACACGCCTTCTGCGAACACGGAGGAAGTCAGGAAACCAGGGGCTGGCTTCGACCGGCGGGCGACGGGCCTAGCAACGAGCGACCACCGGAGATGAGTTCCAGAGGAACGGCGAGCAATCTCCGGCGACGGTCCTCTGCTTTCTGCGAGCTGACTGCGTTCAGCTTTTGACCTCGCGAACAGGCTTTGGATCCAAAATCCAAGCCTCAATTTCCGGCGACGAACTAAGTTCAGTGACCCACCGTTTCTCAGGCAACGGTCAGGAACTCCTATGCGGCGAACGAATCTCGGCGATGGCAGTGCTTCAAAATTCCGGCGAGCAACACCTTGCTTCCAGGCGACCACTTGAACTTCAAGAGGCAGATTTGGGACGGACGGGAAGCAACGGCACCAAGCGAAGCTTCAGCGAACGACCGGTGACCTCCAGGACCTCGAATCGTCGACCGGCGGCGGATGGCGGCAGACGGCGAACCTCGCTCTGATACCACTGTAAGGATCGTATATCCGTCTCCGGCTCAGGTCTTTCAACACACACTCTCACACACCACACTTAGGAGGAGGCTATAGCACACACATATTTTTCTCTCCACTAAGGACCTAACTTATGCTCACACAAAGGAGGAAGAAAGGGAGCTCTGCTCTCTGGAAGTATACTCACGCAGGCTGCTCTCAAAGGCAAAGGGAGGGTTGACTTTATAATAGATATCTTGCCTATTAGGCACTCACGGGTGAACAAAGACAAATGGTCACGGGTGATGCAATACAAAGAAACTTCACATGCTACCAAGACAAGAAGTGCAACGGACAGAAGCAGAGGAGGGGCCAGCCAAGTGGGTAAGTCAAACCACTCAAATAGGTATATATTTGATCAGGATATATACCAAAGAAAAGGTATCCAAGGGAGAATAAAATAGAGTGTGCAAGCCTCAACAAATAAAGTGGAAGGGAGGCCTTGGTAGGACCAATACCTCCAACAATTTAGGTAATACGTAGTATGAAGTTTGCTTTTGTAAAATAATGGGAAAGAGGTACTCCAATAGGAGTCCTGACAGATATATTTATAATAGAAGAGTTGCCAAAATACAAAGTATTCCTAAATAGATATTAGGAATATTCCTAAATATATATTAGGTAGATTCCTAATTATATTAGCCTATTACACCCCTCAAACTGTGCGGGAGATACAACACGCAGGTTGTCTTTTAAAAAAATGAAATTGCAAACTAAAAAAAACTCTTAGTAAATATATCTGTGAGTGGAAGATTAGAAGGCACATCTTTGACAATAAGATCTCCATGAGAATATATGTCTGCAGCAGCAAGCGGCGAACTCAACAGCGCGCTTGAAGCAAGCACCGTGGTCAGCGACGCAAAGAAGGTGGGCTGCGCGGACATAGGCAGCAGCAGGCGGCGAACTCAACGGCACGCTAGAAGCAAGCACCGTGTTCAGCGACGTGAAGGAGGTGATCTGCGCCATATTAGCCGCGCTCATCTTCAAAGGATCGGAGACTACCGTAAATGTGGCGGCAGTCGACCCCGAGGCGGCGGCGGATATAATAAGGTTCATGGGAACCGAAAAAAGAAAAAAATTGTATCTACAAACCTAGAGCTCTTGATATCATGTGAAATAATGGGAAAGAGGTACTCCAATAGGAGTCCTGACAGATATATTTATAATAGAAGAGTTGCCAAAATACAAAGTATTCCTAAATAGATATTAGGAATATTCCTAAATATCTATTAGGTAGATTCCTAATTATATTAGCCTATTAGCTTTTTCCATTCTTTGTAACATTGGCATACTTCTTTTATATGGATATAAAAGATAGTCATATGCTTGATGTTCTAATTACTGGATCTAATTGTTGTGTTTGGGAGGTGGATATTCAGATTGGTATATGTAAGTAGGTACTCATCCTTTCTTTTACTTCTGATCTGTTTGTTTCTAATTAATGAAGCTCCTCGGTGATTTCTTTAAACTCTAAAGTAGAAAGTAAAAATTACTCCGTAGTTTTCATTAATTTACAAAATGTTGAATGGTCACCTTGGTAAAGCTATAAGTTTTGGTATATCATGATTGTGATATACCTTGGTAGATTATAACATAACATTGTAGAATGAGCTAGGTGTGTTATGTGTTATTTTTGAAAAGCCATCAATTTCCTTATCTAGAAGTTGATAAAAGAATTGATAATCTGAATGTGGAAGACTGTAAAGAACAAATAAATTAGAGCTACTTTTATTCTTTTTTGACTATTACAAGGATGTTATTAATCAGGAACTGAAAATATATTTACCATGTGATCAATTCTTCACCTAGATCAATTCTACTCTTTAATTTCTCGTATGCTAATTTGGATTTCTTAATTTAATTTCCAGGGGATTGAAGGGTGGAAACAACAATCCAATGAATGAAACATCCATATGTTCACAGTTCACTGTTTAACTATGATTAACTAGTGTACAAGTTTTTACTACAAGTGACTTTTGTGGGAGATACAGAGTCCTCCATGAGCTCGACATCATTTTATTTCTCTTAAATTGTTTCAATACTTCACCTTTTGAATGATTGTTATTTGTTACTCTGTATGGTAAAGTAGAGCTTCTTATTTATGAATAATGTATTTCACTAAATTCCGTTTAATGAAATATTATTTTTCTAAGCTTCTAATTTGTATGTGGATGTGTTTCAGTGTGTCAAACCGACTCAAACATGTTGGTTAAATGTAATAGTTCATAGATAAAGTAACAATATTCCCTAAATCTAACACTATATTTTTGTGCAACAAAATTGTTAATTTGTAACACACTTGGTAAAAGTAACACTTATTCTCTATTGTGACATTTAATTTAAATGTAACACTTTTAGCATCAAATGTAACACTTTTAGCTCGCCCGCGTTAAGTGTTACATTAGAAACTAAAAAGTGTTACAATATGTCAAATGCAACGCAAACAAATGTAATGGAGAAAAAGTGTTACCTTTAGCCAAATGTAACAACTTTTATTGATGTTGTAACACTTCTAGCTGATACAATAGATACTGAAATGTAGTAATGCATATCTCGACATTATCAAATGTTGTAAGAATAAATCATTAATCATGGTTATTGATGGAGTATTAATTCTAGAGAGAAGTGAGAGCTAGAGAGAGAAAGTGAGTAATTGTATTTCTCAACTTGGAACCCCCTATAATTAGCCCCTTGGGGTCTATTTATAGGTAAAAATGTGGATTTGGGCCCCTAGCCTTGGGCTTAGGAGGCCCATTACAATAATCATGCCTTCTTTGGGCGAAATTGGGCCACTAATGGGCTGTGTACAATACTTAATAAATAAAGTAGAGAGATGCATTCTGCCCGTACGAAGCCGGGCCGATGCGGTGCCTTTTGGCCGATGCGGTCCCATGGCCGATGCGGTCCATGGGCCGATGCGGTCCCGGGAGTCCATGCGTGCTTCCTGGGCCGGTTTGGTTTCTGGCCGATGCGGACCTACTGGCCGAAGGGGGCCACGTGGGTGTTCTTCTGGCCATCGTTGACTTGAGTATGTGGGCCATGGGGTCCACGCCCATATACTCTATCAGGAGTCCCCCACTCTCTGAGCTGAGGCGAAGCCGAAGCGAAAGGGAGTATTTGTTCCTTCCTGGCTGGCCGTTGCGAGAGCTTGAGGCGCTTGGTGGCCGAAGAGTTTCTGCCTTGATTTTGGATGAAGTGGCTCCATTTTGATGTAGACGTAGCGCGCTTGAGGATTCACGGCCTTGGTGCGGCCGATGCGCTCTCTGTGAAGTGTTTTGAGGATGATGCGGCGCGCTTTCCCTTTCCAGTAGATGTGAATTATAGAGAAGCTGGCCTGTTTCATCATTATTTGTTGGGGCCGAAGAGGTCTCACATGCTTTAGTGAGCCGACGCAGTCCCACCAATGTACATAGTCGTTGCGCGCTGTTTTTTGTATTAGTGTTTTAAATTTTTGGGGTCTGTAGCCGATGCGCCCTTTTATATTAAGACCGTTGCGCTCTCTCTTCTTGTGGCCGACACAGTCCCTCCAGCGCATGTGGCCGTTGCATGCTGGACTTTGTTTTTGGGTTTTTATTTTCTTGGGCTCTTTAGCCGATGCGATCTGCAATGCTATTGAGGTGAATGTTTTCTGTATCGAATCCTCCGTGTGTTGAGGCCGTCGCGTTCCCATTTATGCTGTTCTCCTTTTTCTGTAGCCGATACAGTCCCCCAGTCCCCCACTCCTTTGGCCGAAGAGTACTTGAGGCACAAGGGAGTCATGGTGTACCCAAGCCGATACGATACCTTTGCGCTAGTCGTGAGTCCAACCCTTAGGCGAACCTGTCCAAGGTAACCCTGTGGGAGAACCCTTGGACGAAGGCCGCAATACCAGGGTCATCATCGAACGATGTGCGCGTGAGTGGACGTAGCGGTACTTGTGGTTCTTGGGGTTGCTTTGGGGCCGTAGCGCGTTTCGCTGATGCGTCCATGCCTTTGGTAAAATTGGGCCGTAGCGGGTTTCTCCTTGTTTTGAGTGAGTAGGCCGGTGCCTACCCTAGTCTCGGGGCCTGTTGGGCCGCAGCGGTTGCCCTAGAGTGGAATGTGAAAAGACGGGCGTTGATTGGTTCTAGAAGAGGTGCCGCTGGGGTGGCCAATTGGGGGTTGCCACGTGTGGTGACCGTTGGGGGGGTGCCTATAAATACCCCCAACTCCGAAGCCATTCCCTCATTTGCCTTTTGCTGTTTGTCGAATTGCTGCCCAATTTTCTAGAGAGAGAAAGCTCCCGAGGTTTCTTCAAGTGTTCATCAACCTTCCTTCGGATCTTCAAATCGTTAAGGTCAGATTCTTGCCTGTTTCTTCTTTATTTTCTTATACTTTGCTTCCTAGGGGGTTAGATCTAGTGTTTGTAGGGAAACCACTTTGATCCGAAAAACCACCCTTAGGAATAGGTGTAGGTGTTATGCCGTTCTCTAACGGCCGTAGCGTTCCCTCCCCCATTGATTTGACAGCTTCTTTGGACGAGTCGGATTGGCCTTTTGACGAGGACGATACGTCCCCTGGAGTTGATCTTCGACTGATTGAAGCCTTCGAGATTGAGATGGAGAATACCGCCGACTACCGCACCTCTGTAGATGAGGAGAGAATGAGTGCCGACGCGGGAGCACGTAGTTCTGGTGAGGACGAAGCGACATCTTGCTCGCCTCTGAGGGGGGATGAGGCATCCTCTTCTGCCCACATCCCTTGTCCTCCGCCGGTATCGTCAGTAGCGGGGGAAGGCCCCTCGGCTCCTAAGACGAAAAAACCGTATCGGCGGAAGCAGCGTAAGGGAGTACCGCAGGGGTTTTCCCAGTTAGATCTCAGCAACTTGTATATTATTCGGCCGGAAGGGACCCTCGGTGAGTATCATGTCGCCCAGTTGTATGTGGGTCCCTACGGCCGTGTCAGAGCCCCCTTGCCGTCGGATCATGTTCTGAACCCGCCTTTGGGCTATTTTGGTGTCTACCCGATGAGCTTTGCTAAGGGTCTGAGATTCCCTCTTCATCCCTTCATCAAGGAGTATCTTGAGATGGTGGAGCTCCCTCCGGCCTTGTTGACTCCCAACAGCTTTTCGCTCATCATCGGCTTTCTGATCCGGTGTAAAGAGTTGGGGATTCCGCCGACGACTGCTCTGTTTATGAACCTGTTCCGGATAGGCCGAGGGAGTCATCAAAATTGTGCCGGCTATGCAACTCTGCAGCAGATTAGTGGGAGGAGGTCGTTTACGGATCTCCCTACGTCCATTCATGGCTGGAAGGCTAAGTTCGTGTTCGTCACCTTGGGTCGGGGTGGGTTCTTTCCTTCCAATGGTCACAGCGGCCTCTTTGAGTTGCATACCCCCCCTTGGAGTGCCGAAATAAGCAATCAGGTAGAAGCCTTTATTAAGGGGGGGCCGAGGAGCATTAAGACGTATGTTACTGAATACCGGATGGCTGCCCTCGGCTTCGTGCGATACTATTGCCCAGGTGACGTCGATGATGATCTTTGGCCGAAGATGGTGGGGTCTTATGAGCAGGCCGACGGTCCTCATCTTGGTGTGCCTGCCGAGGCCGAAGGTTGACTTCTTTTCTTTATCCTTGTGTGATGTTTTGTTTTCCTTTGCTAACCCTTGTATCTTTGTGCAGGTTTCAATATGGATCGGATGTCTTTCATGGCTCGGGCTGCCAGGAAGGCCGACGCGGAGTTGAAAGCTGCTCAAGCTGCCGAGGCAGCAAAGAAGTCTGCGGGCGGTTCCCAGGGGGGTGCTGAGGCCGTCAAGAGACCTGCTTCTAAGAAGAGTAAGAGGGCTGCTGATGAGGGTCAAAAGACTTTGGCCGAAGCGGGTCTGAAGCTGAGCCAGGCTTCGAAGAAGACGAAGAGGGCTCCTACTACTGACGAGGCCGGCGTCCCTTCTTCACAGGCCGTTGCGGATGTTCCGCCGCCGGCGCTCCCTCCTGTGAATGATCTCCCTTCCTCGGCTATGGTAGCCTCGGCTTCTCGTGTGCCTCCCTCTACGGCCGCTGCTGCCCGTCTGGAGGAGGCTCTGGCTAAGGGGTCGTACGAAGTCACCGTACGATACCCCGTGAAAGGTGGTCTCTTTAATGAGACCGTTGGTGGAGACGACATGCTCGCTCAGGCTATGCCTGAGTATGATCGTCAGTATCTCGGCCGGCAAGGCCAACATGTTCGGCTATACGACGGAGGGATGGACTACGTCGTCCAGGTAAGATATTTTCCCTTATAATTTTTCCTTTGCTTTTATTTTTTATCTCTAACTCTATTCTGCTTCGTCCAGGGCGCCCTTATGTTGAGGGAGCAGCATTGGAGGCAGGAGGCCGAGATAGAGCGGCTCAAGAAAGTGGAGGCTAGGGCTGCTTCAGCCGATGAGGCCCTCCAGGATCTCAAGGACAAGGCCAAGGCTGCCGAGGATGAGATGAGGCTTCTCCAGATCCGGCTTGATGAGGCCGAAGCAGCCCGGAAGAAGGCCGATGAGTCCATTGCTGCTGCCATCCAGAGAGCCGAGGAGGCTGAACGGCTCAAGGCTGACGCCGAGAAGGCCGCCGAGAAGGCCGTGGTTGATTTCAAGGCCGAGGGGTGGAAAGCCGATGACCAGCTCCCCTTCTGCTATGAGGTGGTTGCTGAGAGGTTGAATGATTGGACGACGAAGGACCCCGCCGGCCAAGAATTCTGGATGAACGAGATGCAAGCTTTCTACGACTGCGGTCAGTACAGAATGCAGAAGCTGATTTACAGGAAGCTTCGTCGTCGCTTCCGGAAGATGAGGCCGAGGGGTCTGAGTCTCCCTCGGCGAATGAAGAATCCCGATGAGGATTTGAAGCTTCCCCTACCGGAGAGGCAGCCTCCGATCTTGAGTTCGTCCGAAGGGGAAGAGCCGTGGAGTGACAGTGACGACTACTTGCTCGAGGGGCCTGCCGATTCCCAGGCTGATGAGGATGCTGGTGGTGATGATGCTGGTGGCGGCAGCGGAGAGGACGTCGGCCAGAGCAAAGAGCAAGCCGATGAGGCAGCGTAGCTTGTACTTAACTTTTTTATTACTTTTATAGCTTTAGCACCAAAGTGCATGTAATGGCCGAAGCGCCCACCCGTTGTATTTTTGCATCCATTAATGACAACTCCTTTCCTCATCATGATTCCCTCGTCGTCTTTGTAGTTAAGTATGTTTGTCCTTTGTAAAATTTTTCCAAGTGTCAAGGCTGTGTCTCGAGGTCGTTGGCGTCCCTTGATTGAGACGTAGCGATTTTCTCGCCTTTACTGTCCTTGGGGACGATGCGTCTCCTCGTCCCTTAGTGAATTTTTATTTCTTCCTTGGCGGATCTTGTCCACGCCTCAAGTTTTGGGGCTTAGTCTTGAAGTGTTGAGGACGAAGCGGTACCCCGATATAGAATGGTAACGCATCGTCTCTCTTGTAGTGTGACTTAGAAAATGTTCTAAGTGTCAAGCTTGCCTTGATGGAGCTGTTTTACCTTGGTTCGTTCACTTGGGTTTTGCTACGCGGAGACGATGCGCCCCTTCGTCCAAATAATGGACCGTGGTCTTGTATAACCGAAGCCGAAGCGTTTTCCTTTTGTGAAGCTATGGTTGGGGTCGAAGCATGCACTTCGGATCTTTGTATAGTGAAAACCTGATATGTACTTAGCCGATTTTAAGGCTTGGTTTTTGTGGGGATTTTATTTCTTGCTCGAGGCCGGCGAGTGCGCGGTCCGTCGGCTTCCCTCTTTTTTTTTTTTTTTTTTTTTTTTTTTTTTTTGTAGCCGAAGGGTTAATGTCCCTTCGTCCATGTGCGGTATTTTGTCCGCTACGCTTTTCGCGTGGATTAGTGCGAGGGAGTAAATACGCCCTCGGCTTGGTGTCAGTGGCATCTTTTTTGCCTTTCCACGTCTATCGTCGACGAGGGACCGGACTAGGCATCGTCTCATGACGGCCGCCCTTTGTGGTCCTGAGCGAAATTTTACTGACGGGTGGAGTTTTTGTAACCTCAGCCTTAATTCAGGCTTGTCGTCCTGCGGTTTCCGCGCGGACGACGCGGTATGCTTCTCCGTTTTTGAAGACGTTGGACCATGCACACAGGTCCTTCGTCCTGCATATCGCCGGCCGATTTGGGTATTTCACCGCTTGTGCCGATACGATATTTATGTGCGTTGTTTATTGCAACGGCTTAGTAGGCGCGTTGTGGATCGCAACGGCCTTAGGTGCGTTGTGTATTGCAACGGCTTTGGGTGCGTCGTTTATTGCGACGGCTTTAGGTGCGTTGTTTATTGCAACGGCTTTGGGTGCGTCGTTTATTGCGACGGCTTTAGGTGCGTTGTTTATTGCAACGGCTTTGGGTGCGTCGTTTATTGCGACGGCTTTAGGTCGCATCGGACCCGGGTGATTGCACCACTTAGGCCGATGCGGTCCTTAGGTTTCCCTTCAAATCTTAAAAGATTGGATGAAACATGAATTTTATTCAATAATTGGCGCTAGGCCGGGGGTGTTTTATTCAACCACTAAGCCGAGGGGTGGGGGACGTTGCCCGCTTCACCGCTTCTCGAGTCATTGGTAAAATTTCACCAGGTGGTGTACATTCCACGATCGTGGTACATCTGACCCATTAGGGTTCTTTAGTCTATAAGTGCCGGCTTTGATGACGGCGCTGATGATGTAGGGCCCTTCATATTTGACGGCGAGCTTTCCTCCTTCCGTCGGCTTGCTTGCTTCCCTTCGGCGGAGGACGTAGTCCCCCACTTGGAATTCGCGGGAGCGTACCTTGGCGTCATAGTAGGATTTGACTTGGCGTCTGTAGTTTTCTGCCCGAAGGTAAGCTATCTCCCGTCTTTCTTCAATGAGGTGCAAGTCAATCTTCATGGCTTCTTCATTGGCTTCGGGGTCGTATTGTGTGACCCGTCGGCTGGGAAGCGTCACCTCAGTGGGAGCCTTGGCTTCGAAGCCGTAGCACAAGGAGAAGGGTGTCTCCCCGGTGGCCCTCCTCGGCGTTGTGCGGTAGGACCATAGGACGTTGGGGAGCTTGTCGACCCAACTTCCGCCTTCTTCCTCGAGTTTCTTCTTTAGCCCCTCCAAGATGGTTCTGTTGGCGTTCTCAACTTGCCCGTTGGCCTGGGGGTAGGCGACGGAGGAGAAACGGTGCTTGATACCCCATTCTTGGAGGAGGCTTTGGAACGGTTCGGCCTCAAACTGGGTGCCGTTGTCTGATATGATCTCCTGAGGCACGCCGAAGCGGGTGAGGATGTTCTTGTAGACGAACTTTCGACACCGTGCCCCGGTGATGCTTGCAAGTGCTTCGGCCTCGACCCATTTGGTGAAGTAATCGATGGCGACGATGATGTATCTGTTGTTCCCCGCGGCTCTTGGTAGCGGGCCGACGAGGTCGATGCCCCATCTGGAAAATGGGATGGCAGTGCTGACCGGGGCGTAGTTGACGGCGGGTCGGCCAGGTGCTCTTTGGTAGTGTTGGCATGCGCTGCATCTGCGGGCGACTTCAGCGCAATCGCGTGCCATCGTCGGCCAGAAGTAGCCTTGGACGACGAGGCGACGCGACATGCTGAAGGGTCCCTGGTGCGATGAGCATACACCGCAGTGGACTTCCTCCATGGCCACTTCGGCCTCATTCTGGTGGAGGCACCGGAGGAGGGTGCCATTGTATGATCTTTTGTAGAGCTTGTCACCCTCAATGACATAGCTTGGCGCCCTAAGTTTGGCGAGTTTGGCCCTCTCCTCGTCTTCAGGTAGTGTGCCGGAAGCGATGTAGGTTGCGATGTCAGTGATCCAGTCCTCCGGTTGGTGTTGTATGGAGAGTATGGGGCTAGCGTGAATGCTTGACATGCTCAACTCCTCCACCTTAGCTATCTTGGAGATGTGCTCCGGGGTGTCGGAGCTGAGTTTGGAGAGGATGTCGGCCTCGGCGTTCTCCGCCCTTGGGATCTGAGTGATCTCGTAGGTATCGAACGCCTTGAGCAATTCCGCAGCGGCCTCCTTGTATTGCTTCATCCTCCCTTCTTTGGCCTCGTAGGAACCCTCCATCTGGCTCACTACGAGTTTGGAGTCGCATTTGATTCTGACGTGGCGTGCTTTGAGGCCGGCGGCCAGTCTGAGTCCGCTGAGGAGCGCTTCATACTCGGCCTCATTGTTGGATACTTTGAAGTTGAAGCGGATGGCGTAGTACGCCCTGAAACCTTCCGGGGAGATGAGGACGACGCCACCCCCACAAGCTTTGGTGGCCGAGGACCCGTCCGTGTAGAGGGTCCAGGCGTCGTCCGATTCAGCTCCTGTGGTGGTAACGGCCGTCTCCCTTGCCGTGCACTCTGTGACGAAATCAGCTAAGGCTTGCCCTTTGATGGATGGCCTCGGCTTGATCTCAATCTGGTACTGGCTCAGGAATATCGCCCATTTGATCATTCTTGGAGAGCTGGTTGGGCTCCTCATGAGGGCTCCCAACGGCTGATGCGTGAGGACGTGGACGGGGTGAGCCTGGAAGTAGTGCCCAAGTTTTTTCACCGTGTGGACGATGGCCAGCACTGTCTTCTCAATGGGGGAGTACCTAAGCTCAGCTTCTCGTAACGTCTTGCTGACGTAGAATATAGCTTTTTGTACCCCGTCATCCTCCCTGATGAGTACGGAGCTGACGGCCGACGTGCTCACTCCTAAGTAAAGGAAGAGAGTCTCGCCGGGTTGGGGCTTGGATAGGACGGGTGGGGAGGCGAGATATTGCTTCAGCTCCTCAAAGGCTTGCTGGCACTCCGTCGTCCATTTGAAGCTGGTGGCCTTCCTCATTATTTGAAAAAAGGGGAGAGACTTCTCAGCGGATTTTGAGAGAAAACGGTTCAGGGCCGCGAGGCGTCCCGTCAGCCGTTGCACCTCCTTTATGTTGCGGGGCGGCTCCATGTTGATAATGGCTTGTATCTTTTCTGGGTTCACCTCGATGCCCCTTCGGCTGACCAGGTACCCCAAGAATTTACCTCCCTGGACGCCGAAGGTGCACTTCTTCGGGTTGAGCCGGAGGTTGTATTTCTTCATGATCTCAAAGATGCCCCGGAGGTCGTCGGCATGAGTTGTGGATTGTTTGCTCTTGACGATCATATCGTCGACGTATGCTTCCATCGTCCGACCTAAGACTGCTCTAAAAATCCGGGCTACCATCCTTGTGTAGGTGGCGCCGGAGTTCTTGAGCCCAAAGGCCATGACGAGGTAGCAAAAAATTCCCTCCGGGGTCATAAAAGCAGTCTTCTCCGCGTCATCTTCGTGCATGGATATCTGGTGGTACCCTCTAAACGCGTCGAGGAACGACATCAACTCGCATCCCGCCGTCTCATCCACCAACTGATCAATGTTGGGGAGAGGGAATGGGTCCATCGGGCACGCCTTGTTCAGGTCAGTGTAATCAACACACATTCTGAACGTGGGCGGTTTTGGTGCGAGGACGACGTTCGCCAACCACGTGGGGTACTTCACCTCTCTTATGTGCTTGATGGAGAGCAGCATGGCTACCTCGGCTTTGACAAATTCCCTCCTGTCGGCTGAGAGGTAGCGCTTCTTCTGCTTGATGGGGGAGGAGGCCGGGTTCACCGATAGCCGATGTGTGATTACCTTCGGGCTGATGCCCGGCATGTCCTCTGGTCCCCATGCGAAGACGATGGCGTACGCTCTCAGGACAGAGAGGATGTCCCTTCGGAACTGTTGGGGGAGCTGTGTCCCAATCTTCAGCGTGCGTTCCGGCCGGGAGACGTCCAACGGAACGTCTTCCACGTCTCCGACCGGTTCAGCCTTCGGTGTGTCTTCTTCGGCCGAGGCGGTGGTGATAGTGTCTATCCGCTCCTCGGCCTCATTAATCTTTCTTGTGAGCCTCAGGTAGCAAGCCCTGGCTATCTTCTGGTTTCCTCTGGCGTAGCCGACGCCGTCCTTGGTGGGGAACTTGAGGCATAGATGTCTCATGGAGATGATGGCCTCAAGGTCCTCCAAGGCCGGTCGTCCCCAAATCATGTTATGGGCGCTGTCCAGGTTGACGACCACGAACTCCATGTCAATCTTCGCCTGACAGGTACCGTCACCGACCACAACGGGAAGCACTATCGTGCCCTCGGCGTCGATAGAGTCCCCGGTGAAGCCGGATAACGGAGTCCGTATCGGCCGGAGCTCGGTCTTCTTCAGCTTCAGCTGTCTGAATGTATCAACGTACATCACATTGACGGAGCTGCCAGTGTCGATGTAGTTGCGGTGGATGATGTTGTTGCCAATCTCGCATTTGACGACGAGGGCGTCCCTGTGGGGCAAGGGGCCGAAGGGGAGGTCCTTGTCGGTGAAAGTGATGGCTTCCAAATGCCGCCGCTTCGGCTGAGGGGGAGCGTGGGTTACCTCACCAACGTATAGGGACTGAGCCCATTTTTTCCGTTGGGTAGCCGAGTCCCCCCCTGTGTTTCCGCCGACGATGATGTGAATGTGATGCTTTTTCTGGCGGGGCTCCTCTTCCTCCTCATCTTCACTGAGGGCGCCGATCTCCCTCTTCTTCCCGGAGGATCCTTCCCCCCTTTTGCCAGGGTTAACCCAAGTGTTACTCTTGGGGGCACCCTTGACAAATTGGGAAAGTTCCCCCTGTCGGATGAGGCCGTCGATGTGCCTCTTCAGGGTGGTGCAATCTTCGGTCTTGTGGGATGTCTGGCGGTGGTACTTGCAGTATGTCCCTCCTTTGTGGACCGCAAATATCTCCTCCTCCGACCTGGGGTCCTTCACAATGAGGCCCTGCGCCTCGGCGTGGTCGAGGACGACGCTCACCGGGTGGGTGAGGGGGATGCGTTGTGCCTCCAACTTTGGACGCCATGAACGGTCATCCCTTCGCTGTCCGCCTTGTTCCTGGTGTGCCTTCTTTGGCTGGTGCTGTCCCTTGTTGGCCGGCGGGTGGTGGGGGTTGGACGAGGAGTCCTTTTGTTGTTTCTCCCCACCCTTCTTCTGGTTCAGGAGCTCGTCGGCATCAGCATGCCTATCTCCGCGTCGGAGCGCCGCGAGGTATGACCGCGGAGGCTCCGTGAACAGGCTCCGGGCGAAGTGGCTCGGCCGGAGTGCTCCGCGGAGGAAGGCCAGGAGGGTGCGTTCATCGGCTCCCTCGCATTCGTCCGCCTCCCTCGTCCAGCGGTCGAGGAAGGCTCGGAGCGTCTCCTCCGGCTGTTGTTTGATGGTCAGGAGATGAGCGAAATGCTTCTTCGCGCGTTTCCTCCCGGCAAAGTGAGTGAGGAAGCGTTGAGCAAGGTCCTGCCATGAGTCGATGCTCCCCTCCGGAAGGTTGTTGAACCAATCGTACGCTGGTCCCTCCAAGGTGGAAAGGAACCAGCGGCACATGTATTCCTCCGAAGCGTTGGTCATCATCATGTTGTTCTGATAGCGGGTGAAATGCTCCTGAGGATCAGTGCGGCCGTCATACGGCTTGATCGGATTCCCCTTGTACTTCTCCGGGATGGGAGCGGAGAGCACCCTCGCAGAGAAGGGGGTTCTAGTCCGTATTTGGATGACAGGCTCATCGCGCCGGTCAGCCAACTCTCTTTCCAGAGCACTGACCTTGCTTAGGAGCGCGTCGTAGTTGGGGTGATGGGATGTCTGGGCCAATGCGCGCCCTGCGGCCTCTCGGGCCTCCATGTCAGCGAGGCGCTTCTCCAAGCGGGCGATGATCTCATCCCTTGGGTCTGCGTTGGCCGTGGCGACGCCCAGAGGGGTCTGGGTCCGGGCCGCGTGTGCGAGGTTGATTTGGTGGCGCGCATCATCATCATTCAACTTTCCTTTGCCTTTGTCAGGTCGGGGCCGGTCCGTTGTTCGGGAAACGGACCCGAAGCTTTCCTTTGGCGACCCCGGCTCGCGGCCACCCAACCGACCCGCCACCCCTCCCGTAGGTACCCGACGGCTCGCGATGTCACCCAGCCTGTTGAAGGCTGAGATTTTACCGCGAGGTTGGGCCGGGTTATCCCGGGTAGGTGAGGCAGTGTGGGAATGGGTGTCCACGGCGAGGACGGCCTCGTTGTCACCGAAGAAGGTGACGCCTTGCGGACGAGGTGGCGGTGGTGGCACCGTTGCGACCTCTCCAGTTGCCGGAGTGTTGTTCTCCCCTGTCTTTGCGACGAGAGCGCTGACCACGTTGGGGTCCTGAAGGATGCTCGCAACAATGGCCGATAGTGCAGCCGGGTTGATCTGGGGGGCAGCAGGGTGAGAAGCCTGCTGGCCCGAAGCGCGATCAGCATTGCGCCTGTCCTCGAGCCCGATGCGGGCGTCTGGGGCAGTCTTGTTGAGCTGGACGCGAAGGTCAGCCGTCGCGTGCTCGATCTCCTGAGCGTTCTCATCCTGGTTGATGAAGTCATTGGGGACGTTGTCAGCAACGTTTCCCTGCCCTTCCTGGTTCAGAGGGGCATTCCTACCGGTGTTCTTTGACCTAGTTCTTGTCATAGCTAGTGGTAGTGTCTAGTAGCGACGAAGGGTACTCACTTGATCTGTTCTAAGCTCTCAACGAGAGCACCAAATGATGGAGTATTAATTCTAGAGAGAAGTGAGAGCTAGAGAGAGAAAGTGAGTAATTGTATTTCTCAACTTGGAACCCCCTATAATTAGCCCCTTGGGGTCTATTTATAGGTAAAAATGTGGATTTGGGCCCCTAGCCTTGGGCTTAGGAGGCCCATTACAATAATCATGCCTTCTTTGGGCGAAATTGGGCCACTAATGGGCTGTGTACAATACTTAATAAATAAAGTAGAGAGATGCATTCTGCCCGTACGAAGCCGGGCCGATGCGGTGCCTTTTGGCCGATGCGGTCCCATGGCCGATGCGGTCCATGGGCCGATGCGGTCCCGGGAGTCCATGCGTGCTTCCTGGGCCGGTTTGGTTTCTGGCCGATGCGGACCTACTGGCCGAAGGGGGCCACGTGGGTGTTCTTCTGGCCATCGTTGACTTGAGTATGTGGGCCATGGGGTCCACGCCCATATACTCTATCAGTTATGATTTTAAATAGTTTATCAGCGAGGTAGTGCATGCCTGGTGCGCACAATTAACCGTCACGTTTGATGAAACTCCCACGATGCCGCGCTTAGGAATTGAACATGAGACATCGATATAACTACACCACTCAACTACCGTTGAGCTATCCGTGCGGGTTAGTGATACACTTCTACTAAATGTGGGGACAGAAAGTAATAAGCCGGGGACTTGCCCCATAGCCCTAGATGATTAGTGATAATATGATAGTACTATATTAATTAATTATATGAGTTGAAAGATACAATAATAAGACGTGTTATTGAAAAATACCGTAGTATATAAATTACCTGAGAAGAAACTACTTCTGGCGTAGGTTCGCCCTCAGCAGCTGGTAAAGGTGAGAGTAACTTGGCACCTCTCTTTGTTATATTGGTAATCTTGGTACAAATTGCGTTAGGCTCCACTGCTCCTTTTATTGTCACTTGGTTTGTTGACATATTTATCACTACACCTTCAACCCCTGGCAGACACATTGAAAGTTATAGTTATACATTTACGCTATGTTTGTCACAAGGACATAAAATGATATTTTATTCTCTTTTTAGTACGCAGTAATTTAACTTTACAAATTTTAGTGAATGAAAAGAACTTAAAACAAAAATTTGTAACAACGTAGTATTTGAAAAAACGAAAACAAGTTGATTGTTTGATTTAATTAGGGTATGTTTAGCACAACTAGATAAAAAGATACTTTTATGATCTTTTTAGTAACTGGAAGTTTTTAGTCACTGGAAAAAGATTAAAAGAAAAAGGTGGTAACTGTTATTAAAAAGTTGGTTGTTTGATTTGGTTTTATTTGACATACATGTAGTTGGAATTAACTAATGCTAAAAGCTAATAATTTTTCTATGATGCTAATCACTGTAGCATCGCAACAAAGATCCTTTATTTTTTTAAAAACTCTTAAAAATTATCATGTCAAACATTCAACTAAAAACTTTTGGAGACTTTTAAAATAATACAAAAGTAGAAAGTAAGGACTTATGCTTACCAAACATGCACTTAGTCTTGTTTGGTATAATAAGCTGTTGTGACTAATTAAAGCTAAAACCTACGGACTTTTCTAAGATGTTACTCAAATATTGCTATGTCAAACATTCAACTAGAAGTTTGTAAAGACTTTTTGAATAGTACAAAAGTCAGAGGATATGAGCTTATGTCTACCAAACATATGCCCTTATAATCGGTGATCAAGTAAACTTTCTAGTATATAAAAAGTATAAACAAGAGGTTATAGGGTTTGAGATGATATACTGAGGAAAAACCAAGTGAAAATGTAACAATTTACCAGAGTAAATATTTTTATATGTCATTAAAATGAAACTTATTGCACAATTGTCTCCATTCTTTCCATCTTATATAGTCTCAAAATAATCTTTGATTTCCTTTTACGACAAAAAATTGTTCATATCATTTCTCTCTTTCCTCTTCGTAACTTTCTCCACTGCATAACTCTCAACCACACAATTCACATTTTGTCTAGTTGAGAGTTATGCACACATAATACCATTGATAGGACATCATGTAACAATAGTACAAGATCTCAATTTGATAGGATATTAATAAAATTTTGTTAATATTTTCTTTTAGGGAAAATGGAAACTAATAATCCAACATTTTAGCGGTCTTCTTACAATGGTCTCACCTTTTGATTATTCATGAATAATCCAACATTTGCACCTCATCTTCATTCACTGGTCCTTGACCAGTTGATGACATACTATTACAAGTTTTTTACTTATCTTTGTAAATCATTATACCATAAATCTCATCTTTCACAAAGATAATATTTTGCAAAGATAAGAAAATAACTTGGAATAACAGGTCATCAACCGGTCAGAGACCAGTGAATGAAGATGAGGTGCAAAGGTTGGATTATTCATGAATAATCAAAAGGTGGGACTATTGTAAGAAGACCGCTAAAAGGTTGGATTATTAGTTTCCATTTCCCCTTTCTTTTATTAAGATCTTGAACTACTCCTTAACATAGTATAGTGTAACTCTTCTAAATCATATTTTAAGAATAAAAAAATATCGATCATATATATTTATACAAATAAATTTAATATTCAAGAAAAGGGATACGTGGATCAGCGGACCTCTGGTTTTGACAATGGATCTTTCGATCTTTTTAGCGCATCCCAAACAATGCAAATCCACGTAGAGCACAAAAGGGGAGGCCGGAGGCTCTTCTTCATCTGCCATCTTTTGCTCCTCTGCTTTTAATTTGTTTGTGCCTTAGCTTTACCCCTTCCTTTCCTGCTCGTTTAGTTTAGTACTCACAGGAGTTACGTAAAATTATAATGCACACATATACTTCCAGAAATGTAGATCAATAGACTGAAAAAGTACAGATGCATCAGAAATGAATGGAAGCAAGAAAACAGCTAAGCTAGCTAATTACGATCATTATATTTTACCTGTTTAATTTGGGTTCTTGTTTGATCTGATCACCGGCCGGCCTGTTTTTGACTTGATCAGAAAACGGGCATGCAGCTAATATAGCTGATAATAAAACACTAGCTTAGCTTAAGCAATAAGCGAGCAGTTATATGTAGGAAGGAGGGGACTTAAATGACAAAAGAATGACAGGGAAAAGGTTGGGCGGTGGGATTATTGAGCACAAAAAGCCGAGTTTGTGCGATGGCCGAGCACATGCGGAACTACCAACTATGGAGACAGAGACCTTACCATTTCTTTCTTACCATTAGTTACCAACTCTTCACACCTACATATATACTATGTACTCCTTTTTATGTTCTCATCCCAAACTATGGTAGAAGCTATTACCTCGGCCTCCCTTGTCTAAAATTGAAACAAGAAGAAGGGATGAGGGAGGTTGTAACAAAAATTGAAATTGTTTGACTAGTATTGAATTGGTAAAATGTGATTAAAGTAATACTAAATTAGAAATGGATAAAAATGATCAAATAAGAAAGATAGGGAGACATAAGAACTAAGTACTCCCTGCATATCATTTTAGTTGGTCTGTTTGCTTTTTCACGTAGTTTAAAATAATTACTTAGACTATATGCAAAGTAAGTGATTTTTGGTATTGTAGCGGTATTGTAACTACTTTTTGGATGAGTTCCATTAAAAAACGGGACAATTAATTTGATACGTCCCAAAAAGAAAAGTGAGACCGTTAAAATGATACGAGACTACATCCTAATAAATAAGACTACGCAATACCTATTTCGTGTGTTTTTTTTGAACAATTAAAAATACCTATTATAACCTATTATGATAGCTCGTCAGATCGTTTCTCCTAGGGCAGCCGCCTCTAGGTTTTTTTTTTCGAATTCGATCATATTGATCGAAGTTCGGCTGTTCTTGTTCGCATATCTGGCCGCGGAGCAGTGGTCTGCTTTTGGCTAAGGTAGAGCGATCACGAGTTTTTCTCTCTAGGGCTTTGACTATGCCGGCCGCTGGAGCCTTTTTCCGATTTCGACTTTGTCGAAGATCGGCTTTGTTATCCCTTGGTCGCTGGTGCTCGACTGGAGTCCAGGTCAGATGCGGAGGGCGGAGATCGGTGGAGGAGGGCAGATTTGCTGTCATGGCTCGAGGAGATCGGCGTTGTGGTCAAGGTTCGAGGATGCGGCGTTGTCGTCATCATTGGAGAAGATCGGCGCCGCCTATCCGCTTACTCTGGTCGCACGGAGCAGAGATGAGTTTGGTTATGCAGGGACGGAGGATTGATGCATGGTCTTTGGCAGCCAAAGGTCATGGAGGATCAATTAGCATGGTACCAGTGGTACGACCTCCTCCTGAACCACCACCATGGGATGCACGATGTGCTAGAGTTCGTGAACGTTTTTCTTGTAGTTTTTATCTGTTTGTTATTTGTTTTCTTGCGTCCATTTTTGTTGTTGGGTTTGACAGTTTGTTTGAGTTTTTTGCCTCTCTTTATGTCATTGGGTATGGTTGGATCTATGAGAAAAGGTTTGGCTGTGTCAAGCCCACTGCATGGTTAGCGATTTGTGTTGCTCTCTCAGGGGTGACCGTCTCAAAGTCTCACCATACGGTTACAGTCGTAATTGTTGGAGTTTCAGTTGGTGTCTATTTTGTTTTCCCTTTGCTTGATGTAATGATCCTGAATCATTTGATATGAATAGAGACATGTTTTGATGATAAAAAAAACCTATTATGATAGGTATAATGCCTATTATGATTTCTATATTCCTTGCAATTTCTTTTTTCATCCTAAAAGTGTATATTGTTTTTTCAACATGTCTCTAATTAACCATGAATAATATCAGTTTAACAAAGTTTAATGTCTCTCACAACGTCGAAACTCATTCATGTTGAAAGATGTTGATATTTAAAAATGAAATGATTTTTATTTTATTTTTTGAGTGTCTGATTTTATTATTACAAAGATGTCTCTGATTTTTGAATCTCACAAAAAATAATTGAAGTGTGAGCGCATTCAAAAAATAAGTGTAACTAATCAATCACATTTTAAATATCAGCCTAAATGGTTATCAGGAAATAAAATAAGTATTTTTTGAATGAACTGTCAAGACATACTCACATACGTAAAGAAAAACAGATGTAGCTAGAATGGACAAGAGGTCAAAAAGAAAATTAAACTTGCAGAGATCTTAAAGAATACACACTATAAATGCGTGAATTAAAAGACCCACTTCACATCAATAAAACATTAAACCCCTTAAAAAGCAAGAGCACAATCTTGATATACCAAGAAGTTGATTAAATTAGCCTTGCAGGCTTTCAATGTAAATTCATTCATCAACATTCTATTTGTTTGACAACAGTAAAGATTGGGGGTTGAAGGATATGCGCTATGTCTTGCTAACAAGTTCTCGTCTACTCTTTTACAACTTTGTCTGGTTTGACCTATACGCAGAATAACAAAATAAAAACTACTAGTATGAGATTAGAATTTGTGCGGAGATAAATAATACTCCCTCCGTCCCATTTATATTGTCTCGTTTTACCTTTTCGGGAAGTCCCACTTAAATTGTCTCATACCATATTTGGCAAAGTTTGTGTGGTTCTAAATCATTCTTACTTTATTTTTACTTTATCAATTAATATCAACCACACAAACCCACTTTTCTTAATAACCGTGTCACCCTCTTCCGTCCCAATATAAATGGGACGGAGGTAGTAAGTAACAAAAATTAATTACCTATAACGATATAACATTATAAGAGACAGAGGAGGTAATATTTAATGTAATATATGAAAACGTTTCTCCCAAATTTAACAAGGAAAATTTTCATAATTGTAGGGGCATGACTATGTGATTACTATCAAATAAAGAAGACAAATGCTGACTATAATCCTTGGGGCATCATGTTTAAGATCAGAATATAATTCAAAACAAATGTGTTAAAAATGAAAGCGCCAATGATTTTGAATAAATTAATCACACTTAGTCCCATAATCCTAACAACTAAAAAGTTAAGAAATAAGATTACCATTTAGTAGTAATAATGAAAGGTAAAATGGGACATAGAGAATGACAAAATACTGGTATCTTCCTCAGCTCTTTCTTTCGGTTGGTCTATCTGGTCCATTTTGTGTTTCCTTTTTATACCCATACATGTTTGGTATCTTTGTGCTATACAAGAGAAAGGGAGGTGAATCTTAAATTCAGGGAGGGAAAATGGGAAATGCTTTGATCCAAGCTTGCATCATAAGCTGTTAAATGATGTCTAAGCGTGTAAAAAGGCTGGAAAATGTTAGAACAAACCGCTGGTGTTGAGCGTCAATTTACGTTTTATAATATCTTGATTTTAATACTTTTAGAAAGAAATTTAAATGTTCTCCCAAACAAACACCTAAACTGAGGGCATTGGACTTAAAGCGCTTCCGAAAATGGCAGCAAAACCCTTCCTGAGAAAACCATGAGCATTCTTTTTTGAGTACCCTTTTTGAGTCAATTCTGTATGTAAATTTTCATTACAGATGAGCAAATTGTTTGGTATGCAAAGAAGCATTCTGTACAGAAATGGTCAAATGCAAAGTAGTATGAACTTACAGCAAGACAAAAGGAAATGGCAATTCCTTATACAAATGAGCAATCATCAAGGGAAAATACAAAATTGAAGACACAAACATATGAATATTGTAATTTTAAAAGGGGAAAAGGGGCAAATAAGCCCTCGAACTAATAAAAAAAGTGCAAATAAGCCCTTTTGTAGGAGGTTCTGGCTGATCATCGTCATTTGGGGAGGTTCTCGGTGGAATATTTTGATGAATTTTTTTGAGCATCTTCTTCATCGAGTCTAGTTTAGCCATACCAAATTTCAGCTAAAAATTAAACCGGGAAGGCACTCAAATGATTTTCGAAAATATACTGTGTTGTTTAACTGCGCAGTTATCTTCAAAAATTCATTTGACTGTCTTCCCGATTGAATTTTTAGCTGAAATTCGGTATGACTAAACTAGACTTAATGAATAAGATGCTCAAGAATTTTCATCAAGAAATTCCACCGGGAACCTCCCCAAATTACGATGGCCAGACGGAACCTCATATAAAAGGGCTTATTTGCACTTTTTTAATTAGTTCGAGGAGGGCTTATTTGCACTTTTTTAATTAGTTCGAGGGCTTATTTGCCCCTTTTCCCATTTTAAAAGTGTTGAACAATTGATTGTAGTAAATAAATTTACAAATAAAAGTAAGATATATGCAGATGAATTAGTTATACAAATCTACCTATGTCTCATCTGAAACTCAGGGCGGTATAAAACCAACAACAATCTGAAAAGCAAAAGAAGTGAAGAAGATTGCATCAAAGAAACCCAAAGAGCACGAAAATCCCAAGTAAAATGAGCCAAATAATGTGAACCAGCAAAAAAGCTTGACCCGAAATGGGACCCGCTCCTCCATTCCCGGCGTCGCAAAACCCTAACCTTGCCACCTGAACGCCGTTGCAATGCGCATCGGCACAACCGCACCAGTAGGTCACGCCATCCACGCCGCAAACCGGGACTGTTCGGAAACACTTGATTGGGCAGGAAGCGGGAGATTCCTGGATCGGAGGGCAAATGGCGCCGTTGTCCCGATCGGACGGCAAGAGGATGTGGTTGTTGCTCGACTCTCCCCGGACGGATGTTGACAACCAGAAGACGGCAATGAAAAGGTAGACCGCAATTAGACAGAAAGGGGGTTTAGAAAACGAAATCATGGCGGATTTGGCGAGCCGGGAGGAGCTCGCCATCATTGGCGAATCGGGAAATTAAGAAGCCCTCGGATTAATTTCAGAATGCGGGCCTTTCTGAGGATGAAAGAAAAGTATTTTGGGGAAGAAGAAAGAGTGATATTCCCCTTTTCTTTTTGGTTTGACGTTTTCCAAATTCAGACTGATTTCTTTGGACAAGACTTTGGGGTGGGTTCGGTACTAACTAAAACCAAATACATAATCTAAAAAGTTTGATTTCTATTTGGTTTTACACTTCAAAAACTTGAAACTAGGTTGGTTCAGTTTGTTTCGGTTCGGTTTCATTGTTTTCGATTTTTTACCGAAAAAATTCTCACTTGATTTAAAATTGATACAATACTTAGAGGGATCAAATATACTACCTCCGTCCCTAAATGTTCTTCCAAAATAAAGTGACACACTGATTAAGAAAGTTGGAATTGTGTGATGAAGAGTTGTGCAGAGGAGAGAGAAATGCTGAGAAACAAAAAATCTTTGCCAGAAAGGGAAAATGAAGTTCTTTTTGGGACGGAAGAAAATGGAAAGTTAGAAGTTCTTTTAGGGACGGAGAGAGTATTACATAAAGAATGCAAGCATAATACCACAACAAATAAAATAAAAATGAGAAGAGATAAATATGTCTTGAATTATATGAGTATGTGAGATAGATAAAACTATATATATTATTGATTTATTTTGTTTGTGAGTAATTTGAAAAAAGTTCATGAATATATATGTTCTATGTGATATAGTTGAGATGAATATTTATAGTTTTATCAATATAAAATCTTTAAGTTATCTAAAAATAAAAGTTAATTACTACCAATAACTAGTAAACACATATTATCATCATTCAATATAGCTACATTATTATAGACAATGAATGTGCAAATGAATTTATAAACTAAATTAAATTAAACATAATACAAACATTATTTCTCTAACACAAGAAAATCAAAGACTATTGATGATATTAAGATTAATTAGAATTAATGTTTAGCAATTAACATATAAATTTCATATTTTAAATAGTTCGGTTTGTTCGGTTCGGTTTTGAAGGGTAAAAACCAAAACCGAACCAAACAACTTCGGTTTAGTTTGGTTTTTACATTCGTTTTCGGTTTCTTAGCAGTTCAGTTTTATTCGGCTGCGGTTCGATTTAATTTGATTCAGTTTTCGGTTTTCGGTTTTTCGGACCCTGTCCTAACAAGACTTGGGAAACATCATACGTAGTAAAAAAGTTATTTGGTCTCATTTGTTCTAATGTTATGTAATGCCGAGTACTCCATACTAGTCACTATGCAATTTTCGATATGATTTTTACTATGGATTATCACTTCGTGGCATTGAAGTAATGACAATATGAGTCTCGTTAGTTTTGATATGATTCATCTAAATCTATTTTGATTTGATCTGATTTGAATATGTCTACTTTGATAGATGTTTAATACTTCATATGTGACTATTTAAATTTAGTCTACATGTTCTAAATCTATTTTGATTTGATCTGATTTGAATATGTCTACTTTGATAGATGTTTAATACTTTATATGTGACTATTTAAATTTAGTCTACATGTTCTAGATTAATCTGAAATAAGTAAAATCATTAAAAAACTTATTACAACTTTTTGACAAAATTTTCGATATAACATGGTTTTAGGCTTTTAGCATGTCATTTGAAATTTTGAATATGTCGGTATATTAATATGAAGTATACACCTAATTATTTCGCAAAACTTTAGTATACAAAATTAGCTATATACTGATAACTCAAAACTCAAAACTTAGTTATATACCTATATACAGTAATCTTGCATAAAAAATATACAGAGTAACAAACTGTTTGGATGTAAAAATTTCGAATATACCAATATTAGTCTGAATTTTAGTACGTATACTAATAAAAGTTTAGTATGATAAGATATGTACTTGCCACTTTATTTTCAGCATAGCATCAATATGACAATTTTGTAATTGGAAGTTTCAATACGGTGTATAATATATATGTTCAAAAATTTTACAGTATCTAAAAATTTCAAACTACTTCTGAAGACACTAACCAGAGCACATAGAACTAGATAGTTCAGCCCCCACTTTTGTATCTAAAGGATTCCTCAAACTCCCGACCTAGTACTAGTCTAGAACAGTAAGCCGGTTCCCGAACTTGATCGATGTCTACTTGTGAATTGTTATGAGCAGAGAGCAAAATGAAAAATCTACAGAGATCTTCAAGGTTAAAAGGATAGAAAAAAGATACTATCGTATATCTTATTAGTTAAGTCCACAAAGATGTATCAATTCGTTAAAAGTCTAGAACAATTCATGATCTCGTTAGTCAATAAGATGAATGAAAGTTTAAATTCATTTATATTTTGTAATTTCAAATATTTATATTCAATAGGCCTAAACATTTAAATACATGTACTTTCACAAATTCGTCTCTAATTTTATGCACCATATACCCATTTTTTTTGCGATGACCATATACCCATTTTTTTTAAAATAGGACTAGGGTCTAGGGTAGACTAGGACGGGTCCAGGCCGGGCACCGGGCCGGGACTGGGCGGGCTCCGGGTCCAAATATTTTAGGCCCGGTACCGCCGGCCCGAGTCGGGCTAAACCATTCAACCCCCAAAAAATTGAGTTTTGTCTGTTGGGCCCACACCGGCCAGGCCGGTCCACTAAAAACGGATCCCAATACCGCCTGCTTCTACCTACAGGTCGGTGCCCGGGCTTGGTCCCAGTCCCGATCAACCGGTCCAAGTCGGGCCTACACAGTGGCAGGCCGGGTCAGGTAGCGGGCCGGGTAGGGCCGTCCCATTACATCTCTATATAGGACCCCAAAAAAGGAGGATGGAATAAGAGTGACGGGCATAATTTGCCTCCGCACCAATTGGATCTCAAGCACTGTACCAACTGTATTTGTTACTTCACGAGTTCACGTTGTATGAGAAGATTAATCACCTGCACCAAGCTGCCACAACTAAATGTTGTACCAACACGAACCGATCATAAACTGAAAGGTCATTTCATGAAATCCAACACAGTTACAATGATGTAGAGTATAATCGTATGTAATAAGTTTGCTTAAAACACAGGTCTTGTTTCTTTCAAACCTCTCCCAGAACTATAAAAAAACCCATCACGCTATGTAAGGTTGAAGAAATACATGTGAAACGAAGGAAGCTTACTAAATAGAATATATGGATTCATATAACTATATATGAGAAGATCAGAAGAATATATACATGTAACATTGTATGCACTAAGGTTAAAACATCCTCTCACTTTTTCTTGTTTTTCTTTGTAACTTGTGGTTTCTTTTTCAATTTTTTTGGTAGCTTGCCCCCTCCAGCTTTTCCCTTTTTTTGTTCAGCCGCCTAAAGAAAAACAAAAATTTTATGGAGCAAAAAAAACAAGGATGAAATCTTGTGTAAAAAAAAAAACTATGCTTACCACTGGTTTTTTGGCTTTTCGTTTTGTTTTTCCCTTCTTTTCATCCTCAGTGGCTTCATTTTGTTTATCTTCACCAGCCTTTTTTGGCAAATTGTCAACCTCCTCATCCGAATCAAATGAATACCCATCAAGAGTTCCTAAATGGAATATATTCATGAGATTAAATATCTTTTACACCTCAGGAAAAAAAGATGAATAGACAGAAAATCCAGACCTTCGACCATTGTTTCAGCATTATGAACATTAGATAGAGGCGTCAATTGGATGAAATCATTCATGATGGCTTCGATCTAGTAAAATCACAATGATTAATAGGTAACATGAGCAACCAACCATAACGATTGTATTAAGTGAATTTCATTTCAGCCACTTTTTAAATCTAATGGTCAGTGAAAGAAGAAATACAGAATGCTATGGCTCAAGATCAGAACAGCCAGTAAAAAAGGTAAGCTGATGGTGCTTCCTGTGCTGCTCCCTATGCCTTAGAGACAGTGCATAGCTGGCGTATGGAAGTTAGCATTCCCTCCATCCCACAAAATAAGACACAATTTGACACATTTTTGCAAGAAAGCAATGTTCATGTTTGCAAGAAAGCAACGTTTTAGTTGTTCAAGCACATACTACAAAGTCAAGATAATGTTAGGCTAGAATATGACTGGAAATACCCTTATAATGTTGGAAGTGCTGTGTAGCATTTATGAGTGGAGAAAGGGTAACAGTGAAAAATGATCAATTAGTTAGTGCTCTTGAAATTCTGAAGAGATGTTTATTATAGAACACAGAAAAACTTTATGGTAACCGTTATAAGAGAAAGGTGGAGCATGCCTGTTTGAAAAAAGAAGAAAGGTTGAATGATAACTGGTGTTTAATTAGGAAAGAGAACATTATTGTGGGAGCAACTAAAAAAGAAAGTGAACCTTGCAAACGCTAAAGAAGAGCACTTTGCTCACAAGGTAAAGGTTATGTAGGTCATTGTGCTATAGGCAAAGTAAAAATATCTAACAATGCTAAAATAAAATGATGTACGAATTTCATTTTTATGGTAGTGGCATGGAAAATTAATCAGCAAAACATCGCTAACAAACACACCTTTGCTTCTGATTGACCAAAGCTTACCTATAGGAAGAGAAGTGTGTCAGAAAAATATTATTGATATTTGTGTATTAAATGTGAGAATTATGGAAAAAATAAAGTTAAAAATATTATAGCTTGAAGGGGGGAATCATGTACCACACAGAATGTCCGGGAAGGTACTATTGTTGTTCTGTAAATAGTTCCTGAAATTTTAAATGAGATTCATAAATGAAAAGATGAAAGAGTGCTACAATGTTATCATGAAAGGCATGAAACATGTGTAACTAGAACATGTAACTATGACACCCAATCTCATAATGCTAGATCATGGTTATGTAGGACATGGAAATCAGTAACTTTAGCATTAGATTTTAGAGAAACTTAGTCGTGCCTTTCAGATCCAAAAGCATTTCATTGTTTCTAGAGGGATTATCTGAAATCACTACTCGTCCAACAGCACCAACATCACCACTCAAATCTATGGAATCACCATCACACTCCACAAGTGCCTTTACAAACAACAATATGGTGACATCAAAAAACGGAAAAAGATGAAGACTGCTAATCATATTTACATCACCAATATAATCAGCTAAGGCCTGCTGAGACTAACCTTTGTCCTTTGTACTTTCTCAGGAAGTAACAAAGGGATCCTTGAAGATGACACCTACACAAATATATCACAGCAAAGACTGGCTAATTTACTATCTCCAAAGTCAACCTTAAATGTTGTACAAGTACTCCATATCTCACATGTGGTCCATTATGCTTCTCCAGAATATCTTCCTCATTTGTATCCATGCTCCCTTTATTTCCAACATCTAAATGATGAAAGCAGAAAATAAATAAAACGCAAGGTATGAAAAGTTAAGATTCCTAGAGAGTTCAACAGATACAAGTTAAATTATGAAAAAGAGTTACAGCCTTGTAGATTCATTCCCAATACCATGTACCTAAAAAGGGTCACTGCAATATTCAAAAAAAAAAAAAAACTAGACATGGCTACTTACCAACATTTTTCTCACTTTCTACTTTCTTCTTTGGTGTGCGGTTTTCTTTTCCTATTTGTTTTTTTGAAGACTGCAGCTTCAAATCCTTGGTGGGTGCAGATTCTTCATCACTGTCAAGGAATACTAGATCTTTTGTTGCTTCAGACTTCATGTCTTGAACTTCATTATGTGCATGCAATTCTTTGTCAAGGATATTACCCTTTCTTACAGGACTCGTATCAGGACAAGACTCAGAGTCGGAGGAAAGATTCAAGGGTGGAGGCTTAGGTTCCTGTAAAAGAGCAATAAATGTTGAAGGTCACACAAACATGGTAAAAACTTCAGATGCTGCTAAAACGCCTCCAAGAACAATGTATCATCTACTTAGTTATGTGATTATTCTTTAACATTGCAACACAACTAGGACCCAATACGAGAAAAAATGAGGAAGAAATGTGAGAAGCCAGTTTATCATCAGTAAATTTGATGGCTTGTGCTTTATGGAGTGAGAGTTTAATGATTTTATCAATTCCCAATAGTAAATTGGAATAGTCAATGCCATAAAAAATAAATTAACTGTGTTCATGGTGATGCTCCAAATGATGGTAAATTGGTAAGGAGATAGACTCCACACTGGCTCCTTTTTTATACTTTCTCCGTTCTCTTTTTTGTTTCAACATTCCCATTTTCATGCTTGCAAATGCACAACTTTGACCGTCATTATATTTAATTCTCTATTAGTAAAAAATATTTAAAAAAACAGATTATGAAATTTTGTAATGAGACTAATTCAAATATATTTTTTCAAAAAAAAATTCTCATACATTAGTATAAAAAATGTAGTCAAAGTAGAGTATGTGAATAGTGTAAAATCTTCCATGTTGCAACTAAAAAGAAATGGAGGATAGTATATCATTATCCAAAAAGCTTAGCGTATACTCCATCCGTTCTGAAATAATAGTACAAGGTTAAAGTTAGTTTTTAGCGGGGGGGTGACTTGCCAAAGATACCCCTCCTAATAAAGATTATATCTCTCCTTCAATGCCTTTAATGAGGACTGGATTACTAAATGACTACTTATTTATTGTAAAGTTGTATTTTCATAATGGATTATTATTTCAGAATAGAGGGAGTATGGACTAGCAGGCTATAGAGATGGAAATAAATAATTACTAGTATGAGTTTAATGCTTAGATTCAGCCAAATCACCAACTACAAAATTGTGCATTATTGCCAGGAATATGACCAGACCAGTCCGTTACATGAACTTAATATAATTGGCCTATAATACTTCACTGTCTTCACCTATAACACTCAAAGTCAAAGTCAACTGACTCAATTCATTATTGCCTATAACACTCAAAATCAAGTCATTACTGCAAATAACAACTTAATATAATTGGAAAAGAACTGTTGACCTCAACAGAAACAGGCACTTTTGTAGCTTTTCTCTTGGTAAAAACCTTAAAATCATCGCCATCGCCACCTATACAATCAGATAGAACACTTGTTATCTTTTTCTGCTTCGAGAGAAATAATGCAGAGTGACAACAGCTCAAATCTTAACACCTACTTTCATTTTTAGGCTGACTCTCTCTTTTTCTCTTTCCTCCTTGTATATGCTCCATTTCCTTCTTATTGGGAAGCTTGTCTTTAGAAGGCGTCTTGCTTAATAACTTATCCCCATTGAGATAGTTTTTAGTCTTAACTTTAACAGATTCCTCTATGGAAAACAGTTTCCCGAGACTCACTCCATCATCATCATCATCATCATCACCACCACCACCACTAACAAGGTCATCACTTAATGGAGACGGTGACCCCGAAGACAGAGCTGTTAGAGTAGGTGCCTGTTATAGAATTAAATTTTCAATTAACAGCACATGATACAAACTCAAAGCAAAGACATAAGCATCCAAGGTTTGCAAAACCAAAAAATCCTCAATCAAACATGCATTGCACCAAAAAACATAACCTATGAATCAAAGATAACAAAACAGCTCATTCCTGGCAACTACATAATCTGAGCGCATTTTCTCAGAGTTAAATGAAATGCAATCAACTCTAAGACAATTGCACAAAATGCAACTATAGTTTGTAGTAAACAATACACTGAGGACGCCATTACAAACTCAGTAAAATATGTTTTAGCTCTAGCAGAAAAGACTCAATTCTAAGGGGCAACAGTAGATTTCTGTCAACTTACCTGAAAAGATCGAAGCCAGTCTGGAGATTCTTCTCTAGAATCAGTCATTTTCAGCCTTCTTGAGTAAAACTAACAAATAAAATTAGATTCAGATCTCACGTTCATGCATATTTGGGATGAACAAGAAAAGGGAAATGCAATATAAATCGGGTAGGGCAGCTCATAAACAGGGTTATTTTTAAGTGTTACTTTAAATTTTTCCTGAAGTTGATAAACTACATTGTTTTCCTGAAGTACAAGAATGTGATAAGTGTTCCTCTCTAATCACATTGGTGAAGATGCTGAAGATTTCAATGTGTTTACTAAGAGAAGAGCTACAAAAAAACTACAGTTTTGCTAGATGGAGTTTGAATGCGGACACTTCTACAAATTTTGGGTTTAAGCTGCCGATTAGGTTTTTCCCCATCCATCCATCTATGTTGAAAAGATGCTACTTAAGACAAAAAATAACGAGAAAATAAAGCCATATCTTCAACCTATTGAAGTTCGCAGGAGTGGTGCGTTTGGCGGGTTTCCTCCGGGGTGGATCCGTCCATCCGGGGATTGCCCAGAACTAGTAATGACTGCAGGTGGACTATGGAGATGTGAAGAACAAAATAAGACCGGCGCCCCAGCACGGGAAAATTATTAGCGGTTAAATAATACGGAGTACTTCAAAAAGTACCCGAGAATTTGAGACCAGATTCCTTGTCAACGGCTGAGTTTATAAGACCATTTCTAGTTGCTAGTCTAAAATAGGCTTGGCATTTATATGAAATCCTTTGAAAATATATCAAATTAATTGACCCGTTTGCTTTTCACGCAGTTTAAGACAATTACTGTAGACTTTATTAAAAGTAAGAGGTTTTTGGTACTGTAGCGACACTGTAGCGGTACTGTAGCAGTACTGTAGCTGCTTTTTGAGTGAGATTCTTTCCAAAAAGAGAAAGAGGTCAATTAAATTGATACACCAAAAAAGGAAAGTGGGTCAATTAATTTGATACGGAGGGAGTATAAAGTTTTACTAACGGTTTAGTTTTTATAAATTATTTTATAGAATCAATAACAAATCGAACCGTTTTTAATGGTCTGATTCTTACCATTTAACGGTTCCTAGTATTAAAAAAAATTACAAACCACGATTAAATTTATGCAAAAAAAGACATTCAACGTTTGGACATCATTTCAAACCTCAAAAGTAGTTTAAAACATAAATACCTAACAAACTGGAAATTTTAGTATATAAAACAGTGAATGTAATACTCCTTCCGCCCCCAATTAAGTTCCTCCTTTCCTTTTTGGGTAGTCCTTGAATTAAGTTCTTCTTTCCTTATTTGGCAAATTAAATACATCAAAACAATGTCAAACAATGCAAACTTTGCCAAACAGTGTCAAAACAGTAAAATTTACCCCCAATGATTTTCCCCCTTTATAAGTGTGAAAAGCAATGGGAACTTAATTGGGGGACGGAAGGAGCATAAAAATAAATAATAATTTTTGGACTTAATAAGAAGCGTAACTCCTAAGAAACCCAAGAAAACCGGTTAAAATGAATAACAATTTTAAATACTTATATAACTAAACTAAAATAGTGAATGTAATATAAAAATAAATAAGTAAATACACATAAAAATATACTCCCTCCGTCCCGGAAACAAGTTATCACTTTCCTTATTTGAATGTCCCAAAATAAACTTACAATTTTCTTATTTGGCAAATTATCTACATCAAAACAGTGCAAAACGATGTCAAATAGTGTTGAAACAGTGTCAAAACAATAAAATCAATCCTAAGTAATTTTATTTCCTTAAAATGTGTGAAAGTCAACCCGAACCAGGGAACTTGTTTCCGGACGGAGGGAGTGTATATATATAATTACTAGCGGGGCACGCACTACGTGAGAATGATGCCCAACATTTGCATATTTACTCGTCAAATTGCCTATTCACTTGTCTAAATATACAATCACCTATTTGGGCAATCACTTAACCAAAATATGTTTAATTGTAAGAAGTTTAGATCACATACATAATTGTAAAAAAACTTTGTTCAGATAGTATTCTGAATATATTTATCTATCATTTCAAAAAGTCTTCAATTTTAAAAATGTTCATGTTGTTCATAAAAGTTGTTTTCAAGTTAAAAAAATGATCAATTTTCCTATTAAGTTTGAAATCTACTCATCAAAAACTTAAATAAGCTATAAGTTCTATAACATGTGTACTTTCCAAAATTTAGGTGTTAAGAGAAAAAGAATTATGAAAATAACAAGAATAGACATGCAAATATAATTAAATAAAAAGGAGTAAAAAAATCAAATATGTTAATACTCCCTCCGTCCCTAATAACTTTGCCAAGTTGGACCGGCACGGGGATTAATAAAGTAAAAACTGTGTAGTTGAGGTTTGTGCAGGGGATGGAGAATTAACTGGATCCACAAATTCTTTACTTAAAAGAGAAAGTGACAAAGTTAATGAGACGTCTAAAAAAGGAAAGTTGACAAAGTTATAAGGGACGGAGGGAGTAGTTGTTTATATACAGTAAAAGATTAAGAACAATTCACGTTGATCAGAAAATAGTGAACGAGAACCTAGAAATGGGAAAGAGGTAATAAAATGAAGAGAAAATGAAAATATGGTGAGAAAAAATTAGCTCTGAATTGAAGATGGAAGAGTTGAAAAGAAATTAATTGAAAACAAATAATTAGTTGAGAGTATTTTCATAAGAAAATTAAGAAATTCCCAGTAATGTCAAATAACCTAAGACATTAATGGAGAAGTGATTGAATTAGGCATTCTAGCTATAGAAGATTTAATATTTCTTTGAAGCGATACTCCACTACACCAGTTTCTGCCAGAGCACGCCTTCGAGCGGAGAACAGGGCACGCTAGCGGACTCCGGCTCCATGAAAGAAGCAACGGATGCCTGAATCATCGGACAGCGAGCGAGGAATAGGACCGCTAACCACCAAGCAAGCAAGAAACCGGGGAATGATAACGTGACAATCGAGTGCGAGTGCGCCTCTCCGAAAGGTTCTATAAAAAAAGGCCGGGGTAGAATGAACGGAAGCTTCACAGCCCCCTTACTGATGCGCTAGTCGAGCCCTTTCCCTGTTTGTTCCCTTGATTAACATGTACACACAGTTGTTGTTAAAGATGTGATTGACGGAATTAAGAGATTTATACATAACAGAATAGGAAGCATTTTTAAGGGAGTTATACCAAAGGCCCACATACCCGAAACATTATTCACTCACCCGAGAAGTTCAAGAAAAACTTTTTGGATATAATTAAGATTTCTGAAAGTAAGTCCGTTTTCATGAACCAGTTAGCAGCATATTGTCACACTTCTCCAAGTATACCTTTGGTAGTCAGAACTCAGAATGCTCATCCCAGAGAAATTTGGATTTTTTTCGTTCTATTTTATAAGTGATATTCCTGGGCAGAGGACAAACAACCATGTTATACAGGGGAAGGGAACTGGGCATACATTTAACTAAAATCATCCTACCTCCTGCGGAAAGAAGCTTGTGTTTTCAGCCCGCAAATTTATTATCAAGCTTGGCTAAGGTATGCTCAAAATAAGATTTAAAAGTTCTATCATTGAAAATATTAGCCCTTAGGTAAGTGAAGGGTAATGATCCTCTTTTTATTTAAAAGAAGTTATTAACAACCAAGTGTGTATGGTTTTTTACATACTTAGAAATAAGATACAAGCTTTTACCTTTATGAATAACCTGTCCTGAAAATTTTTCATAATCAGAGATGATTTTGTTGAGCTTTACAAGTTTTTTTTCTCAGCATCAGAGAAAACATAAAGCAGTACTTTAACCTGTTTGATAGAGCGTATTAAATTATTAATCTGCCTTGATAGAATCTCAGCAGTCATAATAAACAGAATTAGGGAAAGAGGGTCCCCTTGCTTAACACCTCTTGAGGGTTTGAAGAAACCTTTAGGGGCACCATTAATGAGAATAGATCACCATCTTGACTTCAGGTTGTTCATGATAAGATTAGTAAAAGTTGGGTGGAAACCAAAACTATTTAACACATGCATACTAAAGGTCTACAAAATTCTATCAAACGCTATCATCATATCAAACTTACAAATGACATTCTGACCCCTCGTTTTCTTATGAATACAATTAACCAGCTCCCGAAGAACAAGAATAATATTTGCAATCTACTTACCTTTTTGAAAAGCAGTTTTCTCGACAGAGATAATTTTAGAAAGAAGGGGAGTGATCCCTATTGTGATAATTTTGGCAAAGATTTTATTGATGAAATTACCGAGACTTATAGGTCTAAATTTGGACAATTGGGAAGCATTAGGTTCTTTAAAAATAAGCACTATAAGGGTATGACCAATGTTTTTAGGGATCGGGACACCACAAAAGAACTCTTGGATAGCGTTAAACATATCATTCTAAATAACCCTTTTTACCCAGCGGTGTCAGTAAGGTTGCAATTTTGTTTTGAGAAGTCGCCAGCACCAACAGCTAAAAAAGGTTGTATTGCTTTACTTTCAAAGTGTTGAGGAGTATGTATGTATGTTTTTCTAGTTCAGTGTTCTGATTTTAGAATCACTAATAGTTTGAAGTCTAATTTTCCCCTTCTCTTGAAAATATAAAACATTCGCTTTTATTGTGTTTATTAATCTATAACTTTTATATGTTAAAAATAAGAAAATAGTTCATATTCTAATGTCACAGTCAAATGAATCCATTGTTACTCCACTACCCTCAAAGATATTCTCAGAACAAATTGCCTCAAATCCTTGCTCTTTAGACCCCCATTTCTTTTCTGTGCAGAAATTTAACCGTCATTGTCAAATATGATTCATAAGATTCCTTTTTTATTCACCTCACAAATTAAAAAAAAATGCATATGAAAAGTATCTTGAAATCAAATGTAAACCTTACAAAATAACACAAGACAATTCAATTCGTGGTAATAAGCGTTTAATTAAAGCTACCTCAAAATCATGCCAAGCCTAAGAGCAAATGCAATCTCTTTTAGCCACCTCCTCAGCATACTCTGTCACTACATCCAACACCTAATGGCCCAAGGCTTTTGATGGCCAATTCTTCTATGATTTGGTATCTGGAAAAGGGTTTCTAAAATCCGACGAAACGCTTTCACCAGCCCCGAAACCAGGGGCTATGTGGTCATGTATAGCTTAAACCAGGATGATCTTCCAGGAATTTATTTAGGGGATGATCAAACAAACTGCAGGCTTGTGTATACTTGGCGGCTGCTTACCCGAAGCATGTCTGTAGCTTTGTTTTGTTTTTGGAAAATTGACTTTCTTATATTTTGATGAGAGGAAACAAATTCAATTAATTAATTGCTGTATGTTCAACCTCATTCTAAAAAGTCTTCAGTATCTTACAAGAATGCTTATTTTCAAAAACAATTAATTCAACTTTTTTAATTTATAAGTATACAGAAAAATTGATTAACATGTTTAGAAAATTTCAAAAGTGATAAATATAAAAATATATTTTCACCTAGGAGTTGAATATAAGACTATTTTAAAAAAATGAATATATGTTTTCAAGATAAACAAAGAATTTGTTTGTTCACAATTGCATTTTAAGTCTTTATTCAATCAATCCATTTTCTTTGCATTTTAAAGTCTGAAACTTATAAAGCTCTCTAACGAATTCATTTGTAAAACTTTTTTCTATTAAATTAAAAGTGAATTATCAAGTT